TAAGAGAACATGGAATAGTTTATCTGTTAGATTTATGGATAAGGGAAGAATTTAGAACCAGAGAAGATACAAAGAGCATTACAAAATATAAAATAGATCATTTTGATTATACAAAATTAAAATGTTTTTGTACAAGCAAAACCAATGCAACCATAATTATAAGGAAAGCAGAAAATTGGGGGAAATTTTTTGTAACAAGTATCTGTGATAAAAGCCTCATTTCTCAAATATATAGAGAACTGAGTCAAATTTATAAAAATACAAGTCATTCCCCAATTGACAAGTGGTCAAAGGATACGAACTGGCAGTCTTCAGACAAAGAAATCAAAGCTATCTATGGTCATATGAAAAAATGCTCCAAATCACTATTGATCAGAGAAATACAAATTAAAACAACTCTGAGGTACCACCTCACACCTATTAGATTGGATAATGTAACAAAAAAGGAAAATATTGGATATTGGAGGGGATATGGGAAAACTGGGACACTAATGCACTTTTGTTGGAGTTGTGAACTGATATAACCATTCTGGAGAACAATCTGGAACTATGCCCAAAAGGCGATAAAATTGTTCATACTCTTTGATCCTGCGATACCACTGCTAGGTCTGTATCCCAAAGACATTCAAAAAAGGGAAAAGGATCTATTTGTACAAAAATATTTATAGCAGCTCTTTTTTTTTTTTTTGTGGTGGCTAAGACTTGGAAATCAAAGAGATACCTATCAATTGGGAAATGGCTAAACAAGCTGTGGTATATAAACATAATGGAATATAATTGTTCTACAAGAAATGATGTGCAGGCAAATTTCAGAGAAACCTGGAAAGATTTACATGAACCGATACACAGTGAAGTGAGCAGAACCAGGAGAAGGTTGCACACAGTAACAACAATATTGTTCAATGAAGAACTGGGAGTGACTTAGCTCTTCTCAGCAATACAATGATCCAAGACAATCCCAAAGGACGAATGATGAAGCATATTATCCACCTCCAGAGAAACAACTGGTATTGACTGAATACAGACTGAAACATGCTATTTTTCACTTTCTTTCACTTTTTTTCTTTTGAGTCTTCTTGTACAAAATGACTAATATGGAAATGTTTTACATAACTGCACATGTATAACCTACATCTGACTGCTTATCATCTGAGGGAGACGGGAGGGGAAGGAAGGATAGAATTTGGAACTCAAAACTTTAAATAAAAATGTTTAAAAACTGGAAAAAAGTAGAATAATAAAGATAAAAAAAGAGTTAACATATAAAAGTGTTTTGTAAAGCACTATTTAACGCTGCTTATAGTGCCACAACAACAAAAAATTATTGTATTTTGCTTCCATGCGTTTCTGCAGACTTGTATCCCCATTCTTAGTTGCCAAACTAATGGTTTTTTCTCAGTCCTCACTCTCCTTGACCTGTCTGCAGCCTTTGACACTACTGATCACTCTCTCCTTCTTGACACTCTCTTCCTTCTACACTTTCAGGACATCACCTCTCCTGGTTCTCCTCCTACCTATCTGACTGTTACTCCTACCTTTCCAGTCTTCTTACAACTTACTCCTCACCACATACTCCTTGATCCAGTGACAATGGCCTCATGACTGTTCCACAAATAAGACTCTCCATCTCTGGGCATTCTCTAAAGAGCTTGGAACACTCTCCCTCCTCTGTTCCACCTACTGACCTCTCTAGCTTCCTTTAAGTACCAACTAAAATCCTGTCTTCTACAGTAAGTCCTTCCCAACCCCTCTGAATTCTAGTACCTTCCCTCTCTTATTTAATTCCTATTTATCTTGTATATAGCTTGCTTGTACATATTTGTTTGCTTGTTTTCTCCCCCATTTAGATTATTATCGTGAATTATTTGAAGTCAGGGACGGTTTTTTTGCATCTTTTTGTACCCCCAGAGCTTAGCACGATAGCTGGCACATAGTAGGTGCTTAATAAATGTTTATTGACCGACTGACCTTTCAGATTCCTTATTCAGTAAGTTTACAGATTTTAAAATCATAAAGAATCTTAGGGGTCATCTTGTACAATGTCCTTATTTCACAGATGAAAAAAAAAAAAATGGAGCCCAGAGAAGTTCAATGTCTTGCCTCAAGTCACACAAGTAGTAAGAGGCATAATCAGTATTAAAACTCAGGCCAGGCCCTCTACCTGCAGACAAAGCCTCTGATCTTCATCCTGAGTAAGGACTGCTTCCTTCCTGACACCTTCATGGGTGATGGTTCTCTTCTTCCCTAAATATTCTAGGAAATTTTAGGTAACTTTTACTTAACCAAGTATCTTTTAAATGCCTATTATGTGCCATGCACTGAGGATGCAAAGACACAAGTGACAAACTAACTCACGGGACAGATGAGGGAGAGGACAGGTAACACATGTCAGGCCACCCAAAACAGACCCGAGGTCTGATCTCGCTGCCTTCCTTCACCCTTTATGTACAATTAGTGATGTAAATGTTTAATCCTGCTGGTAGAATAGAAGCCCCCTGGGGCAGGCATGATTCAGGATTGAATTCTCAGCACAATTCCTTAAACCAATTGCGCCAAAGTCAAATTGAAAAGAATCCCTGTGGGTCACATTAACACAATCTATGTTGCACTGTACTTTTATTTATTTTGTTAAACATTTCCCTCTACACTTGGAATTCTGGGGCTGCCAGTTTGACACCTCTGCCCTAAAACCTTTACTAGGTGTCTGACAAGGGTATTGAATCGAAATCCCTTCCAGCTTTAATATGTTGTTAAAAATCTTCTCATATCCCACAGATCTCATAGAATTTAGGACTAAAAGGTACCTTCGATTTTACAGATGGGGTAACCAAGGCCCAAAGAGATTAAGTAACATGCCCAAAGTCACTCAGCAGATCCAAGATTTAAATCTAGGTCCTAAAAACACCCATAACCTTTTAGCATGTTATAGGGGGAAAAGATACAAGATTTTGAATCAGAGAACCTGGGTACAAATTTTTTCTCCATCACTTATTACCTGTGTAACCTCAGCCAAATCACTTAACCTCTCTGGGCCTCAGCTCTTTACCTGTAAAATGAGGTGGATGGACTAGATTATGTCTCTTCTGACTCTACATGATACAACATCTAGAGGAAACTACAAAGCCTACTGAGAGGCAGGGCAGTGTAGCAGATAAAAAGGCTGGTTTTGGACTCAGAAACTGATTTAAGTGGCCCCTCTGATACATACAGCTACTGTGACCCTGAGCAAGTAACTTAACATCGTAGTAATTCAGACAAAGAAGGTAGAGATCTGCAATGGTCAAGAAGTTTCCCTATGTTCAGTTCCTTTACCAATGAAATCACAAATCCCATCTCCAGTAAAACTTATGCATTATCAGAATACTCATCTGTTCAAGATTTGATATACTTAACTCACATGCAATCTTCCTCGTAGTTCTCGGTCATTTCTCATTTTTACATAAATTCGTTCATCTAGACTGAGCCGGATGAGGTCAAGCGGCTCCTCTACAGTGTTGGTGGTCTGTTGCTGTTAAAAAGAAAAACTGCAATGATACACACCTACCAGAAGTGGTAGATCATTACCCACCTGTTCTCTGCAAAATGCAAACTAAGGAATCTTCAGTTAGTTTCCACCTGACCTACAGATTACAAGAGGATGCTCAATTAAAAATGAATTCTTTAACTCCCTTTTATGAGAAGTCAGCCCTAGCAAAGGTACTGTCACCTGAAGGTTGTTTTGGGCTCTCCTAGGGCAGGCAAGAGTGCCAGGCCAATACACTTTAAAGATAGGAAACTTTGAGGGTGCTATGCAGAACGCCACATTTTCAGCAAGGGAGGATGTGATGTTTGCAAAAGAGCGTGTAGGGGCGGGGAAAAGGTATGTGTCCTCTTTACCAGGCTGGGCTGAGATTTACAGATACACAATAGAGAAACAAGTGGCAACTAAAAGCTAAAAATGGAAGTGAAAGTGAGCCAAATGTAGGATTTCCAGGTGGGTAAAGAGGAAGCTGGATAGAAAGACCTAGACTCAAATTTGGCCTCAGACACGCACTAACTGTGTGACCTTGGCCAAGTCACTTCACATCTGCCTGCCTGAGTTTCCTCAGCTGTAAAATGAGGATAACAACAGAACCTACGTCCCAGGGTTGTTCTGAGGATCAAATGAAGTAATACTTGTAGAATAAACTTTGCAAATGTGAAAGCCCATAAAATGCTATCATTATGAGGTCAGAGTATAATTATTAATGACACCCCCCACCCAAGACCCTTGTCACCTCAACTGTATAGAAGGAAGCTCTCCAACAGCATCTGCTGAGGAATGGAGACAAAAGAGGCAAAAGGCAAGAAAGCTTGTCCACCAAAGAGATGCCGGCTGAGGGGGGCACGCAGGGACTCCGCAGGGACTGCGGGGCATGGAGGCTTTCCGGGGCGCCAGGGGAACGAGCTCCTGGGACACTAAATCCAAGGCTCCAGGGGCTGCTGGCTGCTCAGCTCCTAGCTCAGGTGGGGACAGGGAGGACAGGACAGACTCTCTCCTCCGTCATTGACTGGCTGAGCCGTAAATCAGGAGTAGACGGTCTAGCCAAGGACCAGAAGACAAGCCAATGAAAACTCTGGCTGGCTAGCCCACAGGTAACTGACAGTTCAGCCAGCCAGTGACAAAGCGGAGGAGGGCGTGGTCTTCTCCATTCTGCGCCCAAGACTTTCAGATATTCCCTGTTAGTAGGAAATTCCTGCGTAGGGTTGGGGGGAGGAACGATTGGACGGGATCCGAGGAAAGGGAGCAGAGGGCTGCTCCAAAGAGAATCCTTGGGGCCCTGCTGAAATGGCCCAGAGGATCGGGAGGCTCTTCGGCAACATACCTGATCCGCGTCGTCCGCCATGTTTCAAATCCGGGTCCTTTTCCCGCTTCTCGCGAGATGACGTGCGCGCTCTCGCGGCAGCCCGCCTACCAGCGGGGGCGAACGTGATGACGAATGCCCCCGGAGGCGTGTAGAGCGAGGGCTGCTCACCGGAAGTAAGGAAAGCTTTGCTCCCCTCGGTTCCCAGCCTTCTCCCAGTGGAGTTCACTTAGACCTCAGGTCTGTCGACGGAATCCGGCGGAGGGGGCGTGGCTTTAGCGACAGGGGAGGGTTAGTGCCCGTGAGGCTCCGCCCCCACGCCTGAGCCACTGCACGGGCCTGTGCTGGGCTAGACCGTGCGGCATGGCCCGAAAGCGGGCGTCCTGCAAGGAGCAGCCGGGCCAGCGGCCCCCCAAGAAGGCCCGGACCCAGGAAGCGAAGCCCGGTGAGTGGGGGGCCGGGCGGGGCGGTGGGCTTGGCGTCCCCTCGGGCTAGTGTGTGGAACTGGCGGGGATGAGCCCAGGCAGGACCCTCCCCTCCCCCGTCTGGGAGAACTTTCGCGCAGCAACCCACGCGACGCCGCGTCTCCGGCCTCGGAGCTTTTGCCTAGGCTGCTCCCCTATGCTTGGCATGCACGCCCCCCATCTGCGCTGCCGCTCAGATGCGCTAGAGTACTCCAAAGCGCAGGTCAAAAGCCACCTTCTAACAGGAGGGCTTTCCTGATCCTGAAGCTGCTAGTGTCTCCTCACCCTGAAATTACTTTGTATTCTTTTGTGTATGCATACCTCTACAGATAGATAGATATAGATATATACACGCACATACTGTATCAGCCATCTATCTAAATATCTATCCATCCATCTCCTTCTAAATATCCATCTTATCCACTCATCCATCCAAATCTCTCCATCTGAATATCATCCATGCAAATATTTGCCTATCCATCCATCCATCTATCTCTGTCCATCTATCTGTCTGTCCTAACTGTGTCTATCTAGCCATCTCTCTGTATCTGTCTCATCTGTGTCTATCTAGCCATCTATCTCTATATGTCCCATCTGTATCTATCTATCTATCCATCTATCCATCTATCTCTCTCTGTCCCATCTGTATCTATCTATCCATCCATCCATCTCTCTGTCCCATCTGTGTCTGTCTGTCCATCCATCTATATCTCTGTCCCATCTGTGTCTATCTATCCATCCATCTATTACCTTCCCTGAGAGAGTGGGTAGAGTGCCAGGCTTGGAGTCAGATCTGTATTCAAACCCTTTCTCTGACACTCACTATATGTGATCTTGTGCACGTCACTCTGTTTGCCTCAGTTTTCTCATCTGTAAAATGGAGTTAATAATAGTATCTCCCTCCCAGGGTTGTTGTGATATTCAAATGAGATATTAATTGTGAAGTGCCTAGCATGGTGCCTGGTACATAGTAGGTGCCTATGTAAATGATAGCTATTATCATTATTATCATTGTTATAAATCAATCAGTCAAACAGGTATTTACTAAGCCTGACACTGTGCTAGGGGCAGAGAAAACAAGTGAGTAATGAGCCTACCTTCTAATGGGGAAGGCAGCAAGTACATATAAAAAATGTGGACAATATAAAGATAAATTTAATAAATACATCCTTATTTATGCCCACATTTATTAAGTAAGAGATTATTTGGAAGGAAGGGCAGCAGCAGTTGGGGTGATCAAGAAAAACTCATGCAGAAGATGGCGCAGTTTCATATTTCTTTATGTGGCCCCTGAGCCTGGCACAAAGTTGGCATTTAATAATAAATGATTGTCAGTTGATTGACTGTCGAATTAAGGCATCAAAGGGTGGCTGAGCCTCAGTATCCATTCAGTTCCACAAATACTTGCTAGGGAATATTTCCTGTGTCCTCAGCCCCAGAGAAGGGAAGATCCTGATTCCCTGAAGAAATTTACATTCCAGTAGGGGAAATCCCACACACATGTAATTGGGTTGGACTGAGGTTCCAACTCTTCCATCTCTGAGGGTCATGATTCAGTTAATTGTAATTCAAAATAAAACATGAGCAAATGCCTGAGAGAGCTTCTGTGTCATTTCAAAGGAAGGAAAGTTCATTTCCAACAGGCACAGTCAAGGAATATTTTTCTTAGAGGGTGGGAAAGTTTGATGCAGGTTTTGAAAGGAATGTAGGATTTTTGTAGATTGATATTGGGAGTGGGACACAATAACGTGTGGGAGACTGTTTGAGGAAAGTTACCAATAGAGATGGCAAAAAGCAAAAAATGTGTTACGGGGAGTAGTTGCCCATTTTGGCTGTAGAGTTTGAGGGGAGGAGTATTGTGAAATAAAACTCAATAGGTGGTGAGTGGTGCAAGATTGGTCAGGACCTTGAATCCTAGACCAGGCATTTGGACTTTGTTTGGTATGTAATAGGGAGCCATTGAAATATTTAAAGGCAGAGCAGTGACCTGATCATATCTTTATATGAGGAAAATTAATCTTGCAGTGGTAGAAAGTATGGATTAAAAGATGTCATTGCCTATAAAAATGAAGAAGTTGAACTGGATAAATCAGGGCAGGTTCATTTTCTATTACCCCAAAGGACATAGAATCCCCAGTAAGCTTATGTTGCATAGTATTTGCAAAACTTAAGTTACACCATTTATTTTGAGATTTTTACTTAATAATTCTAACTATAGTAACAGGTCTGAGATAGGAAATTCAGGCTGTCATATACATTTTATATTTATATGCATTCTATAAGTAAGGAAACAGGTTTAGAGATGTTAAGTAGGTTCGCCTCTTGTCTCAGAGCAAGTATGTGTTCAAGCCAAGGTTTGACCTCTTGTCCCCTCTAGAAGAAACCTGAGTTTCTTTTCTAATCCAGTTTTTAAAAAACAAAACTTAAAGTGCTTGCTAGAAATACACTGTGAGTATCACTGAGGTTACAAAGGAAGTGACCCAGGACCAGCCCCAGCAAGCACTTGAGCCAGGCCTTTCTGAATGAGTTGTGGATTCCGGCGTTTGGATTCCTGAAGATGTCGCAGGAAGTGGGCCCCAGAGCTGTAATCAGATCTCCGCTGAGTCCTGCCAGTTAGGGAAGCGAGGTACCCGGCGCTAGGCGTGCGAGGCCGAGCAGGCCGGTGTGGGTGAGTCAGAGAGCAGAGAAGCGGCAGATGCTGGGCTGCAGGCGGCTGCTCCTGAATGGGAAGCTTCTCTCCTTGATCTCAGTCACATCCTCCTCAAGTGCAAACCAGGGGAGTGCTTTTTTTGTCAGTGGAAAGACACAAATCAAAACCCCCAGACCATCTTCATTGTAGTTTTCTTGTTCATATTAGGATGCCTCTGTTTTCTTCCCAATTCTTCTCTAGGTTTTATGTTCTTCTTAACATCTGTATTGAATGTCCCCTTAGTGTGTTGTAGTCAGGGGTCCTTCTGATCTGTGGAACCATCACTGGGTGCTCTCCTGCACCCTCAAAGCACCGAGACAGACTCTGTGCATACTCGGCTCACTTTTGCTAACTCAAAGAATGGTGCAGAAATGATTGATACCTTTGGAAGAGGTATTGTCCCCATCTTCAGGATGGAAAAATTGAAACTCCACTAACCTAGTCCAGTGGCTTAGGGCCAGATCCCAGAATAGAATCCAGAAATCCTGATTCCCAGGTTGTTCCTCAGACTTACTCCTTTAACAAATTGTAGTTCAGCGGACACCTGCTGTGTGCAAATCACCGTGCATACAACAGCCAGAAAGGAATCCGGTCCCTGCCCTTATGGGAGGACACGTGCCTTTGACCCAAATAAATGCCACCTAATCTGAGGAGTTTGAGGAGAGCACTAACTTTGGGAGCAATCAGGAAGGGCTTTCCTTAGGAGGTGTACCTGAAGGAAGCCTGTGGAGTCCCAGGGAGAAATTGCAGGAGGTGGGAGAGGGAGAGATAAAATTTTGAGTTCAGGGAACAACAGGTGGGCCACTTTGGCTAGTACCAAGAGCTCCCCGGGGGGTGGCGAGGAGAAGCCCATCCAGAGCCAGGCTGTGAAGGGTTTTAATGCCAAGCTGAAGGTCTGTGTATTATCGTAGAGGCAATAGAAAGCCATTGCAGCTTCTTGAGCAGAGGAGTCAGATCTGTCTCTCCTGACCTGAGTCACCCCCACGTGGTAGGAAGATTATGTGTGGAGAATAGATTAGAGAGGAAAGACAGTAGGATCAGGGAGAACAGTTCAGAAATAAAGAGGTGATGGAACCCTAACTAGGATGGTGGCGTATAAGTGGGAAGAAGATGAACGTGAGAGGTGTTGTGCAAGTAAAACCACAAGATTTGACGACTGATTGGATGTGGAGCTGAGGGAGAGGGCCAGGTGTTGAAAACTCGGGTGAATAGAACAATAGAACAGCAGCTTCATCAATACCAAAAAGGGAGTTTGGAGGATGGGCTTGTTTAAGGAACGAAGGGAATAAGTGTTTATAGAGCACCTACTGTGTACCGGGCACTGTGCCAAGCGCTTTTTACAAGTATTAGCACATTTGATAATCAGTCCCATGTCAGGGAAATGGGCGTCAGGTTGTTTTTTCAATCAGTAAACATTAAGAGCACCTACTATGTGCCAGGCCCTGTGCTAAGTGCAAAAAGAGGCAAATGACAGTCCCTGTCCTCAAGGAGCTTGCAATCTAACACTTGTGCACAAGGTGAGGCTCTGTGCCAGGGTCGTGGCCATGGAAACGCCCTGATGGACTGGGGAGAAGTTAGAGAGCAAGAATCTTTGGCAGCGCTTTGACTGTCCTTCCCCTTTGCTCCCTTGCCTTCTCCTTCCTCCCTCATACAGATGTTTTTGAAGATCAGAAGCCAAAGAATACTCGTGTCCCCAGAGTCCCAAGTGGGAAAAGGAAGAAGAGAAGCAGTGACCCTGGTGGGCCCCGAGGTGGTGCATCAAAGAAGGCAGGAGTCAAGTCGGAGAAGAAATCTGAAAAGCGTCCTGCTGTGAAGGAGGAAGCCTCTAGTGAGGGAGAAGATTTCGTGTAAGATAGTTTTGAGTTTCTCTGTATTTCCCCTCAGGAAAATGGTGGTGTTAAGAGCTACCTTTCTATTCTTCACTGAAGCTGTTCCAGGCAGTGTCAGGGCTCCACAGTACGTAGAGCACTGGGCCTGGAGTCAGGAAGGCCTGAGTTCAAGTTCAGCCTCAGACATTCAGTAGTTGTATGAACCTGGCACGCTTTTTCATCTCAGTTTCCTCAGCTGTAAAATGGGGATAATAATAGCACCTGCCTCCCAGGGTGGTTGTGAGTCTCTAATAGGATGACATATGTACTACTAGCTTTAAAGCACTTTGAAATCTTCTGCATAAAGAGCATAGAATTATGTAATTTTAAAGTGGGAAAAAAATCTTGGAGATCCTCTAGTTCAAACCCCTCATTTTACGTAAGGAAACTGAGGCCCAGAGAGGAGACCAGGAAGAGCCACCACTAGAACCTGTCCCAGGCCAGTGCCTTTCTTTCTGCCCTAAAATGTTGGGCCCCAGAATTTGAGAGTTGGAAGGGACTTCAGTCATCAGTCCAGCCCATACGGGAAAGAGAACCCTGTCTCTGACCCCACTGACCAGGGCCATTCAACCGTTGCTTGCAGCGGCCATCCATTCCACGTGTGGATGACTCTGATTGTTAGGGCGTAAAGCATAAATTCGGCTTTTTGGAACTTGCATTTTATTTTGTTCAAGCCAGTGCTAGAGATGAGAGGCCATGCACAAGGCCGTGCCCTGGTCACCTCCCACCCAGCTAGAGCCATCAAGGACTTCGTTTGTCATAGGGCCTTTCATCCACTTAGGATAGTGATGGGGCTTTGCTAAAATCTAGATAAACTATCCGTGACTTTCTTTCGACTGTTTCAGAAAGCGAGGTCAGTCTCATATGACCTGTTCTTAGGAAAGCCATACTGGTTCTTTGTAATCGCTGCTTCCTTTTCCAGATGTTCACTAACCATCCCTTTAATGGTCCTTCACAGAGTTGTCTCAGCAGTCCAAGACAATCATTTGCTTCTCACCTGCTGACTCCAGTCTCTTCTCTTTTTGAAAATTGGGAAGACATTTCTGCTTCAGGCCTGGATGTGTAGGATAGGATTTAAAGAAAGAAGGAACCTTAGAAATCACTTCATCTAGCCCCTTCAGTTTACTGATGAGGAAATTGAGATACGCAAAGGGTAATTGATTCACCAGAATTCAAGGCCAGGTCCTCTGACTCTGAATCCAGTGCTTTCTCTACTACAACGCATCCATCTTTGGGGACTTTGGGGTCTTTGAGTCCATGGAGAGAAGAGGACTTAAAAATTCATTCATTCATTCATTCAGTCATTCTTTCATACTTGAATTGTTATTTTTACTATCTTGTTTGCACAAAAGCCTTAATTTTTTCACATGTTGAGGGAAGGAATATTTATATAGCCCCTACTAAGGGCCAGGCACTGTGCTGAGCACTTTACAAATCTGATCTCATTTGAGCTTCACAACAACTCTGGGAAACAAGTGCTATTGTTAGCCCCATTTTACAACTGAGGAAAATGAGGTAATATTATATAGCACCTACTGTGTGTCAGGTAACATGCTAAGTGCTTTACAAATATCTTACAACAAATATCCTCACAACAGCCCTGGGGATGTAGTTATTATTATTATTGATATCCACGTTTTTACAGTTGAGGAAACTGAGGCCAACAGAGGTTAAGTGACTTGCCCAAGGTCACACAACTAGTCTGTATCTAAGGCTGAATTTGAACTCAGGGCTTCCTGACTCCTGGCCTAGCACTCTATCCACTGTACCACCTGGCTGCTGTTGATACCTATAATTAAAGCCTACTTAAATTAGTAAATATTAATCTAGCAAAGAAACCTTCCTTGATGAATTTGCCAGTGCTTTGTTCCTGCTATGAATATTAGCCTTATTTAGCCAGTGTCTAGCTAATCAGCCAGTTTAGCAGGCCAACTTTCTCAAGTCAACAAGCATTTATTAAGCACCCAGTGTGCCAGGCACTCTGCTTAGTGCTGGGGATACAAAGAAAAGCAAAAACCAGTCCCTGCCCTCAAGGAGCTCCCATTCTTGGGGGGTTGCGGGGACAACACGCAAACAACTCTGTACACACAGGACGTAGACAAGATAAAGTGGAGAGAACCTCAGAGGGCAAGCCCTTGCATTAAGGGGGATTAGGAAAGTCTGAGACTTGCAGCCAGGAGGTAGAGACAAGGGGAAGAGAATCCCACGCATGGGGGCTCGAGCTGGGAGGTCTCGTGTGAGGAGCAGCAAAGAGGCCAGTCGCTGGGTTTCAGGCTGGAGGGGCAGGAAGGGCTTTAAAAGCCAAACAGGATGTTATGTTTAATCCAAGAGGTAACAGGAACTGCCAGAGTTTGTTAAATGGGGAGAGTAAAGGAGTGACGTAGACTTGTAGGAAGATCAGTTCTACAGCTGAATGGAGGACGGATCGGGGTGGAAAGAGGCCTGAGGCAGGCAGAGTACCAGCAGCCGTTGCAGCAGTGCAGGTGTGAGGGGATGAGGGCCAGCACCACGGTGGGGGCCGTGTCAGAGGAGAGAGGTGATGCACAGGCCCAGGCTTGGGCCACAGCTGTGACGCGAGGGGTGACAGAGAGTTTTACCAGACTGCCGAGGGCTCCCTGGCCCAGCAAAGGTGGAGAGCCCCTGGTCTCGACAGTAGACATTCTTTCTCTGCTTGGTGTTTCCTGTGTGAGTGGCAAAGCCAAAATCTTGAGCAGTTACAGATCTCTTCCAGGAGATTCTGCATAGTTCTGGGGCTTGATGCAACCAGCACAACGTCTTCTGCAAACAGAAGCACTTGGAGGACGTCCCTCTTGCACAAGACCTCCTTTCTCATAGTGGTAGAGAGCCAGTAAAAATAAAAACAAGTAAGGCAAAAGAGAGAAAAAGGCAAATTATTTTCAATGCCATGTTTCAATAATATGTTTAAGGAGCGAAAAATTGTGTAATGCATTTTAGAAAGTTCACACCCAAAATGGTTAAGATACAGAAAAAGAGGATAAGTGCCAGTGACCTGGGAAATTCATCAAGTACCTTCCCTGACAATGCCAGAAAAATGTGCTTCTACTGTTTATGCCCGGGGGCCGTTACTGTAACCTGGGGCTCCCTGATTACATTTTTGTGATTGCCTTTAATTTGGGATGTTTGTAATCTTGTCTGTGGCCTTTTTTCCGTTGTTTTTTGACTTGGTTTGTTTTTAGGTCATCATTGTTGAGGCAGCATGTGAAAGACAGGCCAACCGATGAATTAGTGGCAGATTCAGTATTAAAACTCAATCGTGGGGCAGCTAGGTGGCACAGTGGATAGAGCATTGGCCCTAAAGTCAGGAGGACTTGAGTTCAAATCCTGCCTCAGACCAAACACTTGACACTCACTAGCTGTGTGACCCTGGGCAAGTCACTTAACCCCAATTACCTAAAAATTTAAAAAAAAATTTTTTTTTTAAAAACCTCAATCTTTTAATGAGAATTTCAGAAAAATACCTAAGGGAGAAATCAGGCTCAGTGTAAACAGAAAATGTTTTTTAGCCAATTGCCAATGACAGTTTTTAAAGGGTCATCATTTCTTCCCCTTAAATTTGATAAGGGAAACACTGACATAATAGAGAGATGTTTGAGCCTCTTGTTTGTTTCTTGCTGTGATATTTATAGTGACTTCACAAGCATCACCAAGAAGATCCGACCCAAGACAGAAGCATCAGTGAAAAAGGACAGCAGTCGGGAGAATGAAGAGGACGAAAGCGAGGATGATTGGGAGGAGGTGGAAGGTACTTTGACGCCAGCATGACCTGCCCCTTAAATCTTTCTTTTTGGTTGCGGTCTGTTTAATTGCAGTCGTGTAGTCTGTATTGTAGCCCTGCTGTTTTCTTGTCAATAAATGCTTGTCCTGTCTGCCTCTTTGAGGTTTTCCCCGGGCTCACACTTTTCGGAAAGCACCCTCCATTGTAGCTGCCTCATCTGAATGTACTGAATAGTGGGGTCAGCACCATGGCCAAGAGAGCCTCAGGGCTCTGGTGACTCCAGTGGAATCCTAGGCTGTTGGGGCTGCAGGGCACCCCACAAGTCACTCCCCTCCTCCCCCCATCCATGTACACAGGCTCCAGGTTCCTGGAGGGCCAGGACCACGTCTTACCTGTGTTTCTCACACAACCCTAGCACAGGGGAGGTGTGGGATGCCTGTTTGTTCAGGGGAATCAACACTGAGGCTTAGACTTTCCAGAGATCCTGCAAATAAGCAGCAAATTGCTTGTTCAGGGTTACCTCAGGCCACTGTTTAGTACCCCCAGAGACTTCACCCTTTCCTCACCTGTGCGGGAGCTGAAAATCACCGTTGCTTTGTTGGAAATCTTGGATGACTTAGACGGACTGGTTCTGTCCTTGTATTTTGGGTGGTCCAGTCATGTCACTCGCACCCCTCACTCAGTGGCTCCCTATCACCTTCCGGAGCAAATATAAAATGCTGTGTTTGGCATTCAAAGCCCTTCATCACCCAGCCCCTTCCTACCTTTCTGGTCATCTGACACCTTACTCCCCCCCATGTTCTCTTTGATCAAGAACCATTGGCCTCCTGGCTGTCCCACAAACAGGACCCTCCATCTCCCAGCTCAGGCCATTTTCTCCAGCTGTCTCCTTTCCCTGGAATGTTCTCCCTCCTCATCTCCACCTCCTGACCTCCCTGGCTTCTTTCAAGTCCCAGCTTAAATCCCACCTTCTAAAGGAAGCCTTTCCCAGTCCTTCTTAAGTCTGGTGTCTTCCTCTGTTGAATATCTTCTCGTTATCCTGTCTATAGCTTGTTTGTACAGAGCCATCTGCTTCTTGTCTCCCCCATCAGATTATGAGCTCTTCCAGGGCAGGGACTGCCTTTTGGCCTTCTTTGCATCCCCAGCACTTAGCACAGAGCCATGCACACAGCAGGTGCTTAATAAATACTTACTGACCAACTGAGCCATGCCAGCAGTTAGGCTGGTGCCTGGCTGACCGGGGAGGCTCACAGCTGCACCACTGAGTCACCACCTTGTCTGCCTTCAGTTGCATGGGACTGGTTCCCTGTCTATAGAAGACTCCCAGCCTGCCTTCCAGGAACTGCAAATATTATAATTGATAAAGCGGTAGAAGAAGCTTTGTTTAGATCAAGCCGCTGGTATTTCCTAAAATAGCAAGTTTCACTCCTTCTCAGTGAATGTCTGCAGTTTTTCTGAACCACGTGAAAGACTGATGCTCGCATTTTGTTGCTAGAACTTAAGGAGCCTGTACCAGATGAGACGGGAGGAACCGCAGCCTCCTTTCAATCAACTTTGCCTGCCAAGCCAGTGGAGATAGAGATTGAAACTCCGGAGCAGTTGAAGGCAAGAGAGAGAAGGTGAGACCAGACCCTCCTTCTGAATCTGTGTTCCCCGTAATGCTGCAGCCCTCAGAAGCCATGGGAGGGAAGCCCCCATTTTTTTCCATCACCCGCTGTGGCCCTGGCCGTCTCTGAGCCAGAGGCAGAGCTCCTCAGCAGAGCCCTGTGGTTTGGGGCGTGAAATCCCCAGCAGACTGTATGTGGTCAGTGTTCATTAAGTACCCGTCTGACAGATGAGCAGCACATTGAGGGCTGTGTGGAAGCTGTACTCTGTGCCCACGAGGGGTTTTCAAGTAACCGGAAACCAGGCATGCACATGCGAGAATAGCTTAACTCATGTAACACAACCTACAAATGAGTGTAAGTAAATATAGTGCCCCCCAAGTGTGTAATCAAGTGTGAAGGGTCATGAAGTCCAGCAATAAAGGTTATAGATTGGTTAATCAGGGAAGGCCACAGTGCCTGGCACATAGTAGGCACTTAATAAATGCTTGTCAAATGGTATGTTCTGACCTGTTGTACTAGAGAAGGTTGGGAGAAGAGCCAGACAAAGACACAGCAGTGAGAACGAGCAAGTCATCCACAGTAGATCCATGGTGGATCTATCAGACTTGCTTGGATGAAATGGAGAATCACTGAGATGAGGAACAGTAATCATGCCTTTGTTGTCTGAGTAAGAAAAATGAGCTGGTAAATCGTGACCTTCTGAGTTCAGCATTTGCTTTTGGATACCCATTGCAGAGAAAAAAGGCAGACGGAATTGGAGACATACCTTCGAAGAATGATGAAACGCTTCAATAAAGAAGTCCGTGAAGATACACACAAGGTCTGAGCCTCAGAATTCATTTCATTCACCAAACATTCATTGGGTCCCTTCTCTGTGTTTGGTGCCAGGACGGAGGACAGAAGAGGCAGGGTCCTGATCCTCACAAAGTTAGCGCTAGGGGCACTGCTTCCATACAGAAATGGCTTAGATGCAGCAACCTCTGAGATCTCTTTGAGATCTCGGGTTCCCAGGGGCAGAGTCAGAAAAGGAGCAGATCACTGCAGGTCTAAGTACAAGGGTGAGATTGGAGCAGGGGACTCGATGACGTGAACAGGCAGAAAGTAGGAGACTTTCTGGAAAAAGTTTGTGAAGAGACATCTAAAGGTAGAGTGAGTTTGACAAACTTGGAAACAGCCTGATTATTTTTGGAAATAAGATTGGACTGATTGGTGACTCTGATGTGAGCTATGAATGTCAGAAGGAGGACTTTGAGCTGTGTCCAGGAGGCACTAGAGAGTTCTTACAGGTTCTAGGCTGGGGAGCAATGTTAGGTCAGTGGCATTTTTAGCAGACTAGTACACTAGCAGATTGGAGGCAGGAAAACTGAGTGAGATCCTGTTCCTGTAATCTAGGGATGAGGTAAGATGATGCTGCTGGCAATAGAAACCAAAAGGCATGGCAGAATACCAGACCTTGGGGAAGACACAGACCACAAAAGCAGACATATTTCGGGCTAAAACGGGACGTCGGTTTGACAGCTCAAAGCTCTCTTTGGCTCAAGGGTTTTTTTTTTTCCTTCTTGTGTTCCTTGTCCTTATTCCCCTGCCTAATAGGTACACCTGCTTTGTCTGCTAGCAAATGGTTTCTTTCGGAATAATACCTGTAATGAGCCAGATCTCCAGGCCATCGGCCTCTCCATCATCCCAGCTCACTTCGCCAAAGTGCTTCCTAATAAAGTGGATGTCCCTTACCTTTCAAACCTGGTAAAATGGTATGAACCTCCATTCCACTTCCTGCCCGACCTGAGCCAGGGGCTTTCCTTTAGCCTAGAGAGCAGCTGTCTAGTCATCTGACTCAGGAATCCACAGAAAGGCGGTGGTCACTCCTAGTGAGGGAGTTCCCTTTCCCCTCTCAGTGGAGTCAGCGGCCCCTTTGATCCAGGAAACCAAGAACCGCTTTCGTGCTTTCTTCCCTTGCAGGTTCATTGCCACATTCACCGTCAATGCAGAGCTTTCCACTGATGAGCGAGACAGCCTGCGCTCCACCCTGGAAAGGCGTTTTGCTATTTATTCTGCACAGGATAATGAAGAATTGGTTCATGTAAGTGATTCAGTTGGTGTTAGGCTATGCACTAATCTTCTGAATAATGCTAAATCTATATAGCAATTAATTTGGGGGCAAGGGATTTAGAAACTTTTTCATTTATTATTCAGTAACTATATTTGGAAACCCCAAGAAGATGCCTAGTTTAGTTCACATGATGGATTTTAGTCTTGGACACTGAAGGCAGACCAGTGTTCCACTCAGATAAGCATGCCTTCAGCCATTTGGATTTGGTGCTAGGAGTGCATTGAAGACAAGTTGCAGTCTGCTGTTCTTGCAACTAGAAGAGATAAAATGGAGAGGTCGTCACACAAGCCTTGCAGAAAGGCTGCCCGGGTCAGGCTCGATGAGTACCATGGCACAGCTGTGTGTTTGGCTGCCTCGCTGATTTCTTGTTCACCTTGGAGACCTTCGGCCTGACTTACTGCGCAGAGAAATGGGGGCCAGGCTTTCTCAAACAGCACCAAAGGCCGTGGAGCTGCAACTTGAGTTTCGTTCCCCCCGTGATTTGAAAAGCCTGAGCTCCCTGACAGTGGACGTGATGAAGAAGGACAGAGCATTTTCTTCTTCGGCTTTCTAGCCATCTGTCTGTTCTCAGTTGTTATCCTCGAGCCCAAATCTGGTTTTTTGGATAGCTAGTCAGTGAATAGTGATTGGTAACAATAACTCCTTAGAGTTTTATAGCCTTTTCACACACTTTGGCTCTTTTTCAGTGCTCTGTGTGGTAAGCAGGTTCCACATAAGAGAATGGGGCTCAGAAGAGTTCAGTCACTTGCTTAATGTCACATGGCTACTTAGTGGTGAAACCAAGGCCAGGCCTCTGGTCTTCTGAATCCTAATCAATGCTTTGCTGCCTCTGATAAGATCGTCTCTAATGGGCCACGCACTGGGTGGGAGGTAAAATTGTGCAAAATGGGGCCCCGTCCTCTTTTATCAAAGGCCCCTCCTCCCGTGTTGACTTTCTGTTATTCTCTTTGTCATCTTTCTGGGTGGGAGATGGAACCCCAACATTCTTTTAATTTATAGTTCTTTTATTAATAGTGATTTGGGTCAGTTCTCCACATGGTTTTTTAATTAAGTGAACAGATGTAAGGTGCTATTCTAGGTACTGTTGAGGGTACAGTCAGGAACAGATCAAAGCCTTCCTCCAGGATCTTATGATCTCAAAGGAAAATTCAGACACGCTTATGAATAACTATATTTCCAATCTAATGATATGATATTATGCCCAAAGAAGGCAGAACATGGTCAAATGTGCCATGTTGAGAAGGTAATCAAGAAAGTGTGATGGGAGTTAAGTGAAAGACAAAATTACATGAAGTATGCATTTGATCAAATGGCCACTTCCTAGTGTGAGATTCTCTGATTCTGTGATTTACATTTCTCTTCTAAAAACTGTTTATTCCTGTCTTTTGATAGCTTATCTGAGGAATCATTTTTCTTAAATCTCTCTATCCCTCAAGATAGTACAGGGCTGAACACTTAGCTCTCAATTAAGCTTTGTTGAGTGATTATTGTAACTCAATGAGAAATTACTTATACCTATGCTAATCTTCACTGCTTTGCAAGTTTATCTTTGTTTTTATGGTCCTTACTGAAAGAATTTGTGTGAAAAATTGGGTAGAATTTTGCATGAACTTTCTGAGTGATGTGAACTTTTGTCTTAGCTAATGGGCTTTATACATCCTTCTTTTTTTTTCTTTTTTTTTTTCTTTTTTCCCCACACAGATATTTTTATTGATTCTACGATCACTGCAACTTCTGACCCGGCTGGTATTGTCTCTGCAGCCCATTCCTCTAAAGTTGCTAGCTGCAAAGGTGAGATTTTAGGGGGCCCCACAGTAAAGGGGTGGGTTGTCATGGAGAAGTGAGAACAGTTATCTCACACTTTTTTAAGAAGGATGACCTTTGTCTGGCACCTTAGAGTTGGGATTCCATGATGTAGCTTTTTCCAAATCTACCACACAGTTCACTTGCAGGGAAACTCATCAAATGGTTTGGGAACTGGAGGTGGTATCTAGAGAACCGAGTTCTATTTTTAGCTTTGTCCTTAAATTGTCAGGAGCCCACACACAAATCATGGCACCTCTTGGCACTCTAATCTGCATTCTCTGAAATGAGTAACTGTCCTCTCACCTCCTAGAAGGTTAAAGTGATGAAGGAGTCTGTGGGACAGACAACGGGCTGAGTAAAACATTTTTTTAAGATTCGCAGATGAAGATGCCAAGTTTTTGTCTGTGTTGAAATTGTGGTCCTTATTTTTGCTGCTGTTTTCTGAAAATTTGTTGATTTTATAGTTTTCTAACTTCTCCATTTCCAAAATTCCACGAGGAAGAAGCCTATTCTACAAGGTGGCTAATATGGTAAAGAGGGACAAGTGAGAAGAAGGGCCGTTTGTCTCAAAGAGACATAGGTGATGGAAGTCACTTTTTGCTATGTAGTTGTGATCATCATGGGACTCTTGGCTTTATTACAGTTTTTAGCCAGTGCATCTGCACCATTTCAGACTGACTAAATCTGATATTGAGTAAACTGAAATAGATCCCAGGTTCCTTGGGTTTTTTAACAGTCGGTGGCTAGGCCATATCTCTGCCATAGTTCTTTGAGGGCAAGGACTTAGTTATATTTGTATTTTTCCTAATGCCTGTTATTGGACATTATATATAGTAGATTTCATAAATGTTGAGTAAACAAAATAATTAGTACTCATAAAATTAAAAAAGCAAATATATAATCACCTTCTGTGTTCCAGGGCAAGAAAAAGTCACAGAACAGCTCCCTAGAGAATCCTGAAAGTTGTTCTGAACCCCCCAGCCAAAAGGCCCAAACCCAGATCAGACCAAAGACCAGCACAGGACGAGCAGCAGCCTCTTCTAAGAGGGCAGCAGAGGGCAAAAAACCAAAGTCTCAGAAGGCAGCAGTGGGCAGCAAAAAACATGCACAGTGTTCTCCCAGTGAGGAAGAAGACGTGGTGGTAGAAAAAAAAGAAGCCCAGAGACCTGTAAGGGAAAGTCGGAGGACTTCAAAGGTGTCCTACAAAGAGGAGAGTGGGAGCGATGGGGCCGAAAGCAGCTCTGATTTCGAGCTCTCCGGTGAGAATGACAGTCATTTATCTGATGAAGATTCTCAGCCTGGCACCCAGAGACCAAGAAGGTCAGCTCCGTCCCAGAGGACAAAGGCAGCATCTGTGGGCAGCAGAAGGAGAGTCAGTACATCAGCAAAGAATAAAAGAAATGGTAGTCAGCCCTCCATCCTTCCAGGAGCATCCCCAGAGGCCTTGGGCACCAAGAAGGTCAAGATCATTTCTAGTGATGAAGAAGAAGAAGAAGAAATCGGGAAAGCAGTTGGTGTGGACCAGTGGCTAGAAGTGTACTGTGAGGGGGAGGATAGGTGGGTATGCGTAGATTGTGTCCATGGCGTGGTGGGCCAGCCCTTGACCTGTTACAAATATGCCACCAAGCCCTTGTCCTACATCATTGGCATTGACAATGATGGGTGTGCCCGGGATATCACACAGCGGTATGACCCGGCCTGGATGACAGCTACCCGCAAGTGCCGTGTAGATTCAGAGTGGTGGGCTGAGACCTTGAGACCCTACCAAAGCCCTTTTGGGGCAAGGGAAAATAAAGAAGAAATGGAGGTAAGCCTTGACTCCTGGGAACCTCACTGCCGCTTGCTGAGTCAAGTTGTCCCAGCTGATGTTTGTTCACGTGACACAGGTAATATCAAGGGAAAGAAGTTTGAGAGGATGAGTAAGATGTGACCCACCGATTACCTTCCCATGACACAGCCCAGAGAGAAAAGAGCAGGGCCACAAGGGCTTCCAGCTGCTGGGGGGGAGGGCAGGTCCTTGATTTAGCTCAGTATTCCTGCATCATGAAGGCCAGGCGAGGGAGTGACGTTTTCCCGAAGCAGGACCTTTCATGTGCGGATGATTCATGAATGCTGGAGAAGGAAGGAAAGGGAGAAAATATACAGTGTGTGTCCATGACTCACTTTTGGACCCAAAGTGAAACTAGGCCCTCACATGTTTGTAGTGAGAGCCTGCAGTGCCACGGGAACATGCAGAAATGGACAGTCACCTTATTCTCTCTTTTGAGGTCACTGAGAACTAGCAAACGTGATTTTTTTTAATGTGCCTGGAGCAGAGAGAGCTTGCCCTGGGGTGCCACTTTCTTCATTTGCTTACAAGTAACCATAATCTAACAGTGATTCATAGTCTGCTCAAAATAAACCAAAGTGCATCCAAGGGAAATGAACCTTCAGAGTCTGTGATGTATAAGGTGACCCCTGTTTGAAAATTGGATCCCAGCCTCTTGCCTCCTCCCCCACAGAGAAATGGGGAAGTGGGGAGTGAGGCAGCGATAGAAGTCACCAAAAGACTGGGAATTTGACTTTGTGAAGAAAGGCTAAAGGAACTCATTGTTCCTTTAGGAACAGTGGAAGGGCTCATTGGCAAAGCACCATTGAATAGCTCAGAGCGACTGGTTTATCTTCTTCTACTGGGAGTTAAACTTAGCACCTCCGTTTAGTAAAGAAGCTTAAGTTAGACGTTAAAGAACTTTCTGGTCGGCTTCCCGAAGGAGGTTGTACATTCTCTTCCGGTGGAGACTGGTGATCTGAACAAGCAGATGATTAGCCATCCACCCAGAATGGTTTATTGACGTGTGTAGCCGCAGAGTTAATCTGACCCTAGAATTTCATGTTTATTGAAAACCTGTTTGTTGGTGGGACGGGTAAACTGAGATCATCGCAAAAGTATTAACAAATTTGATCATTAATCCATAATAACACTTGGTAACCAACATGATAGTCAAGAGAAGTTCAAATTTTATTAAAAAAAAAACTTCCTTTTATAAAGATCTTACTTAACATTGTCTTTGGCCTATGCAGTTTCAGGCAAAGCTACAGAGCCAGCCCTTGCCAACTGCTATAGGCATGTATAAGAACCACCCTCTTTATGCCTTGAAGAGGCATCTCCTGAAATATGAGGCCATATACCCAGAGACTGCTGCCATCCTTGGGTACTGTCGTGGGGAAGCTGTGTATTCTAGGTAAGAGGACCACTGTCAGTGTGCACATCATTCTAGCTAGTGAGCAAGAAAACATTGACAGCTTCAGTGATGTGGCCTAGTGAGTAAAAGAGGATAGTTAACTGGGATGGGAGGGGAAAGGGGGGGGGTCATGTATGATAGCTGGAAGAATGGAAGTTTGGTGAGGAGAAAGTGGGTAAGAGAGAAGACTTGTGAAGGGGGAAGTGAGTGGGAGGGTCTTTGGGAGAGAAAGAAACCCTGCTCAAAAGTTAAATGTTTTATCAGGGATGTGGTGGACCAGCACCAAATTATCTGTCACCAATCAAAGTACTTCACTGTAAAGGGAGTTGGGGGCTAGTCATGCTAGTAGTAGATGTGTCCAAATTTTAGTGTTGGACTGCCCTTCAAATAAGAGAACATTTGTAAGGGGCTTGGCCACAGTGCTGGGCACATAGGTGTTTAATAAATGCCTGTGGGTTGATTGAGAAAGGTATTGTTATTTATCTTCATGTCTACCCCAGTGTTAATCATAGTGCTGCACACAGTAGGTGCTCAGTAAATGCCTGTGGGTTATTTATCTTCCTGTCTTCCCCAGTGTTATTCATAGTGCTGCACACAGTAGGTGCTTAATAAATGCCTGTGGGTTATTTATCTTCATGTCTTCCCCAGTGTTAGTCATAGTGCTGTACACAGTAGGTGCTTAATAAATGCCTGTGGGTTGATTGAGAAAGGGATTGTTATTTATCTTGTCTACCCCAGTGTTAATCATAGTGCTATACACAGAAGGGCTCAATAAATGCCTGTGGGTTGTTATTTATCTTCATGTCTTCCCCAGTGTTATTCATAGTGCTGCACTCAGTAGGTGCTTATAAATGCCTGCTGAGTGTCAAAAGTATAATTGTAAGATTCCCATGGTTGTGGGAGTGGCCAGGAGCATGCTCTGCCATCTGTTATGGCTTGGCTCTTTACCACATGTAAGCCCTGTCCCCCAGCTGGATTGTAGGCTTCATGGAGGCAAAAACCATGCCCTTCCTCTTGTTTGGATCCCCCCATGGTGGGCATGAGAGGCTGGGCATCTACCACGTGCTCAGCTTGGCTGCTGTTGCTGCTTTTGAATAGTCCCGGCTTGTAACACAGCCTTGTGTGTATGTGCAGAGTAGATGGTGGCTGTGAGTCCCTTGGAGACAGAGGACAAGGACACTGGGGAAGGGAAGGGAAATCCAGAGGCTGGTGTGACAGAAGATGAGTCATGGCACCCTGCCGAGCAGGACAAGAGGTCGAAGTCACGCATTATTCCGCCTACCTCAGGCAACTCCAGAGCCCATTCCAAGGGGTTATTTCACATTCTTTCTATAGGCAGATATCAGAGGTGACAGCTTCCTCCTATTAATTCTACTAATTAATATCTGTAGTTGCCGAAAATGACCAACGTAGGAAGAAATATAGATCTCTGATCATTTGAGGAGTAACTGACTGTTCACATTTCTCTCCCAGGGATTGTGTCCACACCCTACACTCGAGGGATACCTGGTTGAAGGAAGCACGAGTGGTCAGGATTGGGGAAGTTCCATACAAGGTAACTGGGCTCTGGCTGGATCGGGGTCTGGGTAGAGAGGCGCCTGGTGTGGCACCATGACCATGGCAGTTTGGACGTCGAGACTGAGGCAAAGGGAACATATCCAGGGGCTGTTCAGTGAGAGGAGGGTGAAACTCTGCCTGCTGTGAAATGAGCACCAGAGAAGGGGCTGCAAGCTTTGAGAAGGAACTGACGTGTTTGAGAAACTCTGGCCAGGACCTGAGTCTAGAAAACAATGGCCAGATCTAGTTCAGGGTCAGCGTGGGAAAGGGCAGAACACTTCTGATTGTGTGTCTGTTGACAGCAAATGGTCAATCCAGGACTCTTCCAGCATATCAGAGAATGTCAGAGCTGGGCAGCTTTAAAAAAAAATCTTCGATAACAGAAGAATCTTGGGTTCCACCTGCTGGGTCTGGCTGGTGTTAACAGAAGGGGAGACAGAGCTGGAGCAGCTGACTGGCCATGGCTGGTGTGGGACAGAGAAGCCAGCTTGTTTCCATGCCCTCTCCACAGCTGCTGCCCTGAGCAGAAAGTACCTTTCAGGGTCTGTTTTTTTTTTGAGGTTTATTGTGTATGTCTGGTTCTCACTTCCAACTTTTTAACTAAGATCTTAATGAAATGCTGAGTTTTACAATTTTAAAAAAATTGCTTGCACCCTTTGTGTTATAAAGGAAGAAACTAAAAGTTTGAAATTGAGTAATTTGAAAAATATCACCCTAAATCTTGGTGACAGAAGCATCACTAGAAAAGAAGATTTCTAATTTCTGATTCCCAGCCCATTGTTCCCTCTAAAACACTTTGCCAGAATGCCCAGGAGGCACTGTGAAATACCCTTAGGCAAAGTCCTTGGCTGAATTTTTGGCATTCAGGTTAGCAGCACTGATGGCTGGGGCAGCGGGGTCTAGAAGACAGCAGCTATCTACATCGTGAGCAGCTTCAGGCTGGTGCAGGGTGGGGAGGAGAAACTTCACATCAAGGAAGCCCCCACTCTCTAGTGGCTCAGACCTAGAAGCCAGTCACTCCCTGGGGGAGTGGGCGTAGAGAGAGGGACTCACTTTCAAGGGAAGAGGCGGCCAAGGCTGTGGCCTTTCATCTTCCCATCGGCTCTGGGCCTGGGCCGGCAGGCTTGCCAGGCCCACGCTGTGCCCCAAGCATTCTCCTCTGGAGCCTAGGTCCCACTCAAGATCTAGCTCCATCTGGGGATCCTGTTTCATTGTTGAGACCTTTCCTTCCCTTGGCCCTTACCGCTGGCCACAAGTAACTTCCAGCTGTTTTCCATTCATTCCAGATCGTTCTCCCTGCATTTCAGTTCCTGATACTTCCTTTCAGGTTTATTTCCACATCTGCTTCAGAACCACAACTGTATGCCCTTTCATTCTACATTCACAGGGTAGGAGGGCTGGCTATCCAGGCTCCGGGATATAATCCCTAGCTTTCCCACTGACGCCTTCTTCTTTTAAACAAGTTATTCAGCTTTTTCTACCTTCTCCCTGACTCCCATCAAGTGAAAATAGAGGTTTTGTCCCCCAGGACCACCCATAGGATCTGGACAGAGGGTCCTCATTGTTGGTGCTTTCTCTGCAAGATCTGTCTGTGTTGTTGCATAAGCTGCTGCTGTTCCTTCCACTGCAGATGGTGAAAGGATATTCCAATCGTGCCCGGAAGGCCCGGCTGGCTGATCCCCAGTACCGGGACCAAGATGACCTGGGTCTGTTTGGCCACTGGCAGACCGAGGAGTACCAGCCGCCCGTGGCAGTGGATGGGAAGGTACGTGCCCCGGAAGAGCGGCGCGAGCCTCCCCTGAACCAGTCTCCTCGGGCTGGCCTCTTCATCCTTTCTCTGTGGCAGGTCCCCCGGAATGAATTTGGAAATGTTTACCTCTTCGTGCCCAGCATGCTGCCCATTGGGTGTGTCCAGCTGAAACTGCCCAACCTGCATCGAGTTGCCCGAAAGCTGGGTATCGACTGTGTCCAGGCTATCACTGGCTTTGACTTCCACTGTGGCTACTCGCATCCTGTGTAAGGAAGGCACCAGACCAGCCGGGGTCCAGCTTAAACACCAGGATAGAGGTGGTTTTCAGTGTGGGAGTAAAAAGTCATTCTAGGGCCAGCGTGGATGTGAGCTAGCCCAGGCTTGGATTGAAACACTGGGGACCCCAGGAAATGAAGGGGGCAGTTTAGGCGTGGGATATGGCTGGGACAGGGTGCGCTGTGGATGGGAGCACTCTTGCTGACAAACCCTAAGCTATATCTTGACCTACCCCAGGAAACAAAGGCAGTTCTCTCAAACGCTTGAGCATATTTAGAGGTGAGCCAAAATGCTACGTTTATTCTCAGCCAAATCCCCACCCTCTGTTGTGGATGTAGCGAATCGTGAGACTGAAGTGCTACCCTCAAAGCCCAAAATGAGGGATGAGGATGGACAAGGAAAGAGAGGAATTGGGACTCCCTGTCCAGAGATAGAAATTTCTGTTGTAAGCTGTGAAGATAGGTGTTTTGCCTGTTTTTCCTTGTTACTCTCAGTCCATATGGAAGAATCTTTAAAGTGCAAATCAAATGCCTCCCATCCCCCCCATGTAACTTTCCCAATACCTTCCTAGAAAGGAAGGATTTCCTCCCCTCAAGACCTCACATAGCTCTCTGTTTTGCGTCCCCCATCCCCCAGTGTACTAGGAGGGCAATGACAGTGTCTGATGTCAAACTCGACATCTCTCAAAATCAATTCTAGTCCTCTGTACCTAGTAGGCACTCGATAAATGCTTGATGACTGTTATGAAGGAGTAGGCATGGGATGTTACCAAAGGAAGGAAGAAAGGAAGGTTAGTCACCAGTGGAGAGGCCTGTCCCGCCTCCTGTCTCCTAAGAATACGCATTGTGTTGTCTTTTCTGCAGCACTGATGGGTACATCGTATGTGAAGAGTACAAAGACGTGCTCTTGGCTGCCTGGGACAATGAACAGTCACTCATTGAACAAAAGGAGAAAGAGGTAAAAAGCTTCTACCTCGAAGGCAGTCTGGGCACTGTGGCAGCATGGAGAAGAGCTCCAGGATGAGGCTCTGGTCACTGCGGCCACAAACGTGCCCTGCTTCCTAGCCCTCAGATTCTGCCATCAAATGAGCAAGTCACATTAGAGGATCTCTGAGATCCTGAAAAAAGGGTTGGGTCCTAGAGGATGCCTCCAGCATCCAGAGAAAGGACCAGACTTTGTCAGGCAGGGAGCGCAGAGAAGTAAGACTGTGTGAAACACAGTAAGGAACCTAAAATTTATAGAAAAACAAAGAGCTCACAGAATGTCAGCTCTAGAAGGGACCTTTAAAGGTAACCTCATTTTACAGAGGATAAAACTGAGGCTTATCGAGGGGAAGTGACTTGTCCAAAGTCATGCAAATGGTTAAGTGTCAAAGCTTGGTCTTCTGAGAGTTTTGGGTCCAAGGCCAGCGCTCTTAGCACCAGATCATGCTTGGATGGGTCCTGGTCACAGGGACTACATGCTTCCACTTCAGAACGCCAAGTATCGGGCCAAGGAATGTCTGCAGCATCTGGTCCACTATGTACTGCCAAGAAAATCCCCTCTACAGTAGGGTGAGACATGGCCATCCAGCGTGTGTTGGAGACCTACCTTCAGTGGTGGGGAGCCAGCCACATCCCAGGTCTGGGATAGTGTTAGTTCTAAGGAAGTTTGCCCCCATCAAGCCTCAGTCTGCTCCTGAAACTTTTCCATGAATTGTTTTGCCCTCAGGAGCCAAGCAGAGTAAATCTAATCCTTCTTTGACATAACCCATCTCATATCTCTCCTGAATCTTCTCTTTTCTGGACCCTACATTCCTGGTTCCTTCAGCTGGTCCTCATGACATGAACTTTTTTTTTTCCCTTACTAACTTTCCTCAGGACTCTCTGGCTTACTCGCATTCATCTTAAAATGAAATGCCCAGAATTGAACATAGTATCCCATATCAGGTCAGGCTGGGGCAGAGCACATTTGGAACTATCACTTCCTTATTTCTGAAGTTATTCCTCCCTTCATGGAGCCCAAGAGTGTCGTGGCTGCCATATTAATTGTTGAATCTACTAAAAATGCAGATCGTCTTCAAAGAAACCATTGTCTAGACATGTTTCCCCCAACTTACACTTACAAACCTGGTTGTTGGTTTGTTTGTTTTTAAATGGAAGTGTAGGAGTTGACATACTTCCCTATGAACCTCTGTCTTAACTCATTTTGGCCCAGGTCAGAGCCTATCACAATCTTTTGGGATCCTGACTTTCATCCAACCTATTGGCTCCCCCTCCTACACCTTTGTGCCATATCTGCCTTTATCATAGTGATTAAGAAAAATATAAACCAACTCAGGACCGAGCCCTGATCCCTGGGGCTCTCCACTGAAAACCTTCCAAGTTGTCATGAAACCATAAATGATTTTTATTTGGATCTGGTGTTCAAGAATGTCACAGAAGTATAAAGAAACCAAATTTTTTTTTTTAATTTAAAACAAAATACAATCAGTTAAATTATGCCAGCATTAACATTTAGCTTTCTTTTTCTACTACCCTTTTGTTCAACATAGAAAAGAGAGAAGAGAGTCCTGGGGCACTGGAAGTTACTGGTGAAAGGGCTTCTCATAAGAGAGAGGCTGAAGCTACGCTTTGGTGACAAGGTAAATACAGGCTCTTCAGACACCTGGTTATGAGGAAAGATCCCAGATCAGATTTCTGCAGCATCTGAGTGGCTGCTCCACAGTATTAACCACCCAGCACCCCCTGGAATCAGCCTGGTCTCCATACAGGCAGGCACCACCTAATGCTAGCGAATTCAGAGAAAATGCAGTATTGACCCAGTATTAGAGGGGGATGGAGTTGTAAAGGGCATGTGGGTACAGTGTTCCATTGGGGTTTCACAGTGTGACGGCTCAGTTTAGGTATTAATTTTGTGGTGATGTTGGGGGACTTTCCCTGTATGTGGACTGCTGGATTAGACTGGGTCCCAGATAAGTTGTTGCATCAAGAGGTTTTCAGCAAAGGAGTTGGGCAGCAGAGGCAGGCAGCTGTCTGTGGCTCTCCCCACCTCAAGCTCCCCGTTCCCCTCGTAGAGTCATGGGAGCCTCCATGGGTGAGTAAATTCTGTGTTCACTCTAGATCTGGGGTCAGAGCACTGAAGTCTGCAGTCTGCTGCTGTTTTGAGCTAATTTCACCTCTTGAGAGCTTGGTTTCAGACTCATCAGCAAAATGAGGGGAGTGGGGGGAAAAAAAACCATAGAATCAATTGTTCTTAGCCTTTTTCAAAATAAAAACCACTTTTTTTTTTTTAAGGCGGTTGGGGTTAAGTGACTTGCCAGGGTCACATAGCTAATAAGTGTCAAGTGTTTGAGACCAGATTTGAACTCAGGTCCTCCTGACTTCAGGGCAGGTGCTCTATCCACTGCACCACCTCGCTGCCCCAAGACCACTTTTAATGTCAAAAAATTTCAGACACCTCTCTGCCCTGATAATATTTTTATTTATGCTTTGTATATTGTTAAAAAGTGATCTAAATATCAAAACAGTAATGCTAGGAGTGTGCATGGACTCCTGCACTAACTCTTAAGGCTCTCAGTGGGTCCAGAGCCCACAGACTTACACATCAGGCCCTCCTTTCCCTTCCCCTCCCCTCTCCTTTTTTGTCCCTTCAAAGATTAAAAAAGACTCCTTAATCTTGCCCAGGCTGAAAATACAATGACCACTCATGGGCCTGGTCCCAGTACTTAGGAGCATGGAAGCTGTAATCTTCCCATGGACACTGTCATAGTCATTGCACAGATTGTTCTCCAGGTGCTGCTTGCTCCACTTTGCAACCATTTGTGTAAATCTTTTCATTCTTCTCTAGTCATCGTGTTCATTGTTACTTACAGTACAATAATATTCTTTGACATTCACATAGCAGTTTATCTGTTCCCAAATTGATGGGCATCATCCTGGTTTCCAGTTTGTTTTTGTTTTTGTTTTTGTTTTTTTTTTTGGCTAGGCAGTGGGGTTAAGTGACTTGCCCAGGGTCACCCAGCTAGTAAGTTTCCAGTTTTTTGACACTACAAAGGGTGCTCCTATAAATATCTTTGTCTACATGGGGCCTTGCTTTTTTGTCACTGACTTTCGGGGGATATGCCCAGCAGAAGATTCTCTGGGCATTTTAGTCTCTTTTTTAGCATCACCTTTTGTGACATTCTAATGTCCCACCCAAAGCGGCAGAACAGATGAGCACTGAACTCAGTTAAGTGTGCTTGATTGTCTCGTACAGGTCACGGGCACAGCGACATTGCCGTGCAGTGCCTGTGTGAGAGGTGGTACAGGTCTATTATCTCCATGTTAGAGAGGACACAGAGTCAGCCTTTCCCCTGTGACCGCTCACTTGTGTTTCTAGGGTGAAGTTGCTGCAGCAACCTCAGAGAGGGGAGCCGGATTCTCGTCGGACGAGGAAGGGACCAGCTCACAGGCAGCAGCCCAAGATCTGGCTGCCTCCTGGCCCCAGAACCGAGAAACTGAAGAGCAGCAGAAACTGAGAAGAACTAGGAAGACCAAAAGGGAAAGGAGGGAGGAAGCCAAGCACCTGTTCCCCTTTGAAAAGTTGTAATTTTGAGAAAACAGCTCCCAGACACTCTCCCAGCACCATGGCCGTATGCTCCCCTGACTGCCAAAAAAAGACAGCCGGGCAGCTGGGCCAGGCTCAGTAGGCTTAGGGCGAGGAAGTGGCTCCGAATTCCCGGGATGGCTCAGGTGTGCTGCAGGACCACTCCTCACATAAGACTCTAGCTTTCACTCAACCCCTCAGCCCTTTGTAGTCTTTTAAGTCGGATATTTTTCTACTTAGGAATCTTGCCTTTCAAGTGGTATCTTTCAACAATCTGACACATATTGAGTAAATGGATTTCTTTGGAGGTCCTGAGGGACTTTGGGCAAATGCTGAGTAATTTTCTTTGTGAGAAACACCAGATTTTAATAGATTCTATGTGTTCTGCAAATGCAGAAAGCTGCTGCTGTCAGTTTAAACACAATTTCCATTTAACAGATAGCCATCTTCTTGCCTCACTGACTTGTCATCTGCATTACCTCTTCCCTGGCCTTAACTGCATTTTTCCCTGAATTTTCGTTGAAACAGAAGAATTACAGTATAATTCCTACAATATTATGATCTTTGGATTCACTTTAGGATGTAGGCACCTATGAAAAGGGCTAAAATCAGAGGGAAATAAATCCCACAAATGTAGAATACTGAAGAAACAGCAACAATCTTGACTGAGCCCCCAACTACTATCCTGGTTAAATAGAAAATGCTTTACATTGTAGATAGTCAAGGAGGATAATTTTTAAAAATCACTATGGGGGGAACAATAAAGCTTATAGAAAGACTGATTTCATTGTTTTCTTTCATAGAAACGTTAAAGATCTGAAATTATCTGGTCTGACTGTAGGGGTGGGGAACCTACAGCCTTGAGGCCACATGTGACCCTCTAGGTCCTCAGGTGTGGCCCTTTGATTAAGTCCAAACGGTTCCCCATCCCTGTCCTACTCAGTTTTACAAATGAGGAAACTAAGTCCCAGAGAGGGAAACTGATTTGCTCAGGGTTACCCAGAGAGGGAGGGGCAGAGCTGGTCTGAGAACTAGTCCTATCCTCTAGCCCAATGGAGTCAAAGTCAGATAGAAATGGGGCCCACTAAATCTTACAGAAGGATCCCCGAGAGCCAGATTGACTCAGAAATCCATATATTAACATCTGTGTTCTATTATATTTTGGTTAAATACTTCCCAATTAAATTTTGATCTGGTTCTGGGGTATTGAGGAGTGTTGGTATCTGATACGCCTGCTCTAACCTATCACCTACCATCTCTAGCTCCCTAGCCCCCCAAGCATTGTTTTTCCTCAGGTGCAAGTCATACCTCAAGGAACCTTCACTCAAGTTGATTGGTGTTCCAGAAGCATCATTCAACACTCTTTAGAAATATTTTTGCTTTGTTTTGTTTTCCTTCACGAGTATATACATCAGGTACATTCACACAGTTGGTCATTTATTAAGCCTTTCTGAACAGAAAGTAGGGTAGTGGGCCTTGGAGAAAGAAAGGCAAGACAGACCCAATCAACCAGTGACAAGTAAAACATATTTGTGTTTGTGTTGAACCTTTCTTAAAGTCTCGTTTTAATTTTTTTTCTATAGGCCAATAACTCATCTTTATACAGCAATGTATTTTTTAACTTGACTGGCTATTAAGTATGGCCCTATGACAGGCACCATTGGAATCTGAGTGAGCAAACTTTGGCAAAACAAAACTTAGGGTGTGACTCATGTGTAACAAAACCTTCTCCAGTATAAACATGTTGAGAAACAACTGATGTTCCCATAGAAACCCCACTGCTGCAAAGGCAGCCCCACTTTCTATAGGAGCCATCTTACCCCAATTTTGATTTTTAAGTTTTACAAGAGGAATGCCTGGTCAGTCATGAAAGTACATAAAAGTTTGGGGCAAGGTTGGGAACTCACTGAGGGTCCCATACAAATCACCTGATTTCATTGAACCTAGTGTGGAAATTCTGTCTACCCTGCTTAGAGAGTTGTTGAAGGGGTACTGAGAGGATAAGTGCTTTGCCCAAGACCACACAGCCAGCCCCGTCTTCCTTAACTACCTGCTATACCACACTGCCTCAGTTTCTTTCATGACTGAGCACAGGTTTCAGAAGGCAAGAGCTGTCAAAAAGTTATTACCTATGAGTCTTCTGATTGGACTTGAATCCAGCGTCAGTCTTCAAAGCCTCCTCTGCTGGTCACACTAAGTAAATGTTGGCTGAAAGCCTTCAAAATGGCTTAACCATTAAAAATCTGAAGTGTCAAAATTTTTTCCAAAGTCTAATTCTAACCAAGTATGCCAAGAAAGTGATAAGGTACTCAATGCCCCAGTTTATTCTTCAAGGTAGAAATTGCCAACAGAACAGAGAAAAGCAGCAATGCTGATGTCTTGGGTACCAAAAAACACTGCAGACATTGATCTTGATCAAAATATAGTCAGAATGAAATTCATGGGGAAGTATTCCAAAAGGCTTCAAATCTTCCTTAACATTTTACACTTTCAGTATTAAGAAAGTGCCAGACATTAAAATCTACACAAGAAAAAAGCTCAGCAATCCCATCATCAGTACCTTCCTAGTGTTTCCAGATGGAATCTGATTACATTGTATATGTTACAAAAGAAAAAAACATAGAACCTTTCATAAGGCTGGAATTTAAAGGACTGAGAAAATACTATTTGTTGATTGCTTATTCAACCAGCAGTGTTGTTTTTGTCCCTAAACAACGAGGGACCCTATTTTGGGAGAAGCCTCAACTTCCTACGGAGATACACCTCCAAGATAACAAAGAATCTGAATTAATGGTATCACTGGTTTCAGAAATTCTGACCCAAATCTCAACTCCTACCAAATATTTATCCGCTAAGGCAACCACTGCACATGATTCTGAATATTAAAAGACCGATGCACAAATAATCTAGAAGGTTGCAACACCCATCTTTAAAACAGTATGTATGAGTGGTTGGGAAATTTAAGGTTAGGTGAGTGGAATGGAAGAATGTGGGTAGATTACTGTAGAACCAGTTAAGTTGTGGAAAAAGGTAACAGATAAACAAGTAGCAGATCTCTAGTTAGCAAGTAGTTTTGTCAACTCTACAATTATTGAAGTGGTAAAACACAAACTTCACTGTTCCCAAGTCTATCACCTACCTCCAAGCCACGGTTAGGCCGCCTGACTTGTACAAGATGATACACAACTCTGCTAAAAGGCACTTTCCAATAGTTACCAATAGCTGAGCGGGCAGGCACCTTTGTAATCATCATGTTCTGATATTGTAACAATATGGTTGTGTCTCTGGTTCTGCTTCTAACTCTTGGTGCCATCAGTTTTTAAAAAGCTCTATAAAGTTGTTTTTTTTTGTTTGTTTTTTGGCTAGGCAGTGGGTTTAAGTGACTTGCCCAGGGTCACACAGCTAGTAAGTATTACTTGTCTGAGGCCGCATTTGAACTCGGGTCCTCCTGAATGCAAGGCTGGTGCTCTATCCACTTCGCCACCTAGCTGCCCCTATAAAGCTTTAAAGTATTTCCAACAGGTTTCTTAGAGTTCATCAGCTGAGTTCAAAAGGGAAGGTACCTCCTGCTTAGAATCTACCACCAATTGCCATTCTTCCTCTTCCCAGAAGAAAAACAAATTGTTTGGATGATGTTTCAAAAGAATTTGAAATTTTTCCTACGGTACACGCAGAAATGGAAAATGGAAAAACCCCTATAACATTTTTACCAAAGAAAAAAAAAAAAAAAAGCCCAGTTGAGCATCTTCTCTGTACATACAGCAGAAGTTTTTCTCTAACAAGTGGAAACACTGACAGATGCTAAACACTCCTAAATTCTTTATACTTTCTTTGCAAGTAATTTTTTTTGGGGGGGTGTGGGGGGAGGCAATCAGGGTCAAATGACTTGCCCAGGGTCGCACAGCTAAGTTCAAGTAACTTTCTCTGAGGAGGAATGCTTAGCCCTAATGGATATAAGTGAAAATACTAACTAAAGGCTGCTAATACAAAAATATCAGACCCAAGAGGACAGTCAAGGTAGCTTCTCCCCACCCTACTTATCTTTGAACAAGGGCTGCTAAAGTAATAATACTAAGCACCTTTTATTAGTGGATCTTGGTGGATTTTATGTTGTTTTTACCTCTGCACTGCAGCTGGATCAGCTGCAGCATTGGAGCTAAAAAGTCTCCCCAGGAAGATCAGAGGTAGAATCCAGATTATGAGCTGCAGTGACCCCTTCCCCAAAGATAAAACTCAACAAAGGAAGCTCAAAAAAGCCAGTGGTGCCAGCTGGAAGCACCACTTCCACCAACCCAAGGTGCTTGCTAGAGAGAAAGAAAGGATTCGCCCCAGTTTGCCTAAATACCAGAGAGACATTGAAGTCCCTAAGTCAGGAGTTGGGGGATGGGGGTGGGCACGAAGGTCCTGTTTGGCTGTTCTGCCAGGTGGAGCTGGTGACTTGACAGGTATGAGGATGTGGTGATAGCTTCGGTCGTGAGGGACGCAATGGGCCTCCAAACCCTCCTCCGACATTCTGAGGTGAAAGCACACAGTCCAGAGCCCAGGATGTTCTTCACTCCTGCTTTTTTGCTGGTGCCCGGGTTCGAGCAATAAGGATAGGAACTATGGCCAGCAAGCCAATGGCCAGTGCCCAGAGGGGACGGTAAAAGAGCCAGCCAGCAGAAATTGTCAGTAGGGTCAGGGATGTAGCAACACAAAAGGCAAATGCTTTCAGGCCGATGTTGACCAGGTCTCTGAAAAGCGGAAACCAGTCCACTGTGGGGAGACAAAGACAAGCAGCTGGTTATCCAAACTCGGAGCTAAGCGAGTCAGCTTCCTGCTAGGCCCTGCGCTTCGACACCTGAGGTTCAGCCTGGATATGAACAGTTCTGTGGGCACAGATCTGGCTACCTGCACATCTGAGCCAGCCACAGAAGCACTTTCTTTCTATCTGCAGGGTTAATAAATGCTAACTGACTAAGCATCCTTTCTGAAGCATGGGCTGCTGGGAGGGGGGCACAGCAAAGTGCAGAACATCCTCTGTGTGCCTGGGGTGGAAGATTTGGTGAGGACCTGGCAAATCGGACTCCTCTGGGACAGCCTTGGATCTGCTGTAAGAGAAGCTAGGAAGCCTGGCCTGCAGCAGTGACTCTGGTCAGATTCTCACAGCAATGGAAAGCAGGTGCCACACTGTCTGTGACATGTCTCATCTCCCTGCTGGAGAGTCTAACCTCCTTGAGGACACAGACTGGGTCTTAACACTACTCTGTATCACTCACAGCACCAATCACCACAACAGAGTTCAACGCAATGACTGACTGGCCCCTCAACCCAAAATACCTTTGGGAGGTACGGCCCCTCACCCTCCCAGGCTTTCACACCCTGCTTTGGTCTCCTTAGTCACTGTGCCAGTTTATTTTTTTCTAAGTTGGAGGTTGGATGGGATGACATCTAAGTTCTACAACCCTATGAACAGATCCGCTGTCCTCAGAGGGAACACACCTACCCAAGGTATACAGGATCCGGGTCATCAGATTGATGCCCACAAACATGGCCATCCAGCCGGCACCTCGAAAGCCCCATGTTTTCATTGTGTTGCTTTGATGTTCTCTCTGAAACACTTCCTGGAAGGGAAATGTCAATTAATCCTCTGGGAAGGGAAAGCTGAGAGGGCTCATTTTCTCAGACTCTGCCAAAGGCCATGGCTTTTAGTTTTTCAGGCGTTACTAAAAGTAGAAAGCCAAATAGGCTTTTTCTTTTGTCCTGCCCAGGGCAAGTACACTTTCTCCTGCTCTTTGCTCACCCACCAGTTCAGTACAGAGGAAGGGTATTCACTGCCTTCTCCCTCCTTCATGGTTAACCCGGACAGTTGCCACACAGGCAGCGGCCAATGCCCACCTTCCACTGTGAGGAGAGCCTGGTTCTCAAGGACACTCCTTCCTGCAGCTTGTTTGCAGCCTGAACTGACAGCCTGAGTAATAAGTAATAAGAAATAAGTAATAAGAAGTAATAAGTAAGTAATAAGAAAAACTCACATTTCTATGGCACTTTGTTTATGAAATGCTTCTCTCACAACAGCCCCATGAGGGAAGTAACACCAAGAGTAGTAACCCCTTTTCACAGTCTAGTGTCTGACTCTCAGAGCTATTAGGTAACTGTCCCAGCATCACACAGCTAGTAAATGTGGCAGCTGGAACTCAAACTCGGGTCTTCTCTAAGAACCATCTCCTTTTTCCCCTAGACCACAATGCACAGATAAGGAAAACATGAACTTGCTCACCAAATTGCAAAATACTGGGACAACAGTCTATCCTGAGACACTTGAATAAAGCAAGTCCAAGCCCAGTGAAAGGTCACTGATTATTATTCCACGTGGGCACTACTTGCCATCTGGGGTGATACACTTGAAACACTGATGATCTTTCAAGAAATGGCACAGGCAAGAAAAAGAGTCAAGAAGAGTCTGGAGCACCGGACTGATAAATAAAACGGATGCAAGAGGACCAAGGCTGGACATAAACTTCAATCTAAACCAGATCAGGAAAGAAAGCCCAGGGCCACCATTAGGCAGGCCCCAAGCCCTGGAAGGAACTAGCACATGATTCTGAAGGCCTTCGGCCTCCTCAGGACTCCCACCTGGAGCTGTGAGCCCTAGGGCCTAGGAGACTTCCCAAACTCATGGTGAGGAAACATATACCAAGTGGAGACTGGGAAGAAAGGACACCTCTGCCATAAACAGCTTCCCTTAAACACCAGTCACGCTTTGCCATGATCTGTTACTTGAATGTTTTTCACATAGGTCAAATCCCACGTTTATATCCTCCCAGATGAAGTTTCTGAATACATAATCTCTTCACAGTATGAGAACTACTCAGGAAAGCTGGACCATCCAGGAATTCAGACTCCCATCAGCCCCACAACATGCTCTAAGCCTTTCCTCACTGCCCAAAACTGTCCCCTCCTCTACCCCAAGCTCCCACTCCCAAAGTTCAGGCTGCAAACAAGCTGCAAGAAGGAGCGTCCTTGAGAACCAGGCTCTCCTCACAGTGGAAGGTGGGCACTGGCCGCTGCCTGTGTGGCGACTGTCCGGGTTAACCATGAAGGAGGGAGAAGGCAGTGAATACCCTTCCTCTCTACTGAACTGGTGGGTGAGCAAAGAGCAGGAGAAAGTGTACTTGCACTGGGCAGGACAAAAGAAAAAGCCTATTTGGCTTTCTACTTTAAGTAATGCCTGAAAAACTAAAAGCCATGGCCTTTGGCAGAGTCTGTGCCAGTGGAAAGCATGACTCATACTGGGGCAGGCACACAGAGGACGAGCTAGAACCAGGGAGGTAGGGCTTCCTGAAGGCTCCACCCAACCAATGTGAGTAACAAACACTCTCCTGACTCATCCAGGACTGCCCGGCACCCCAAGGCTTTCCCACCCAGATGAAAGGAAAAGGGCTTCCCTTTCCCAAGACCTGCCCTCTCAGTAACATCTAACAGCCTTGCTAGGGGCAGACCAGCCAGCATGCTGAAGGGCTGATCACGACGATCCTTCACATCTGGGCCACTCTTCACACTTATCATATCGTGAAATATCATTTTGTCCTTCTAACACACCCACATAGTCAATGAGAACAGGCACCATCACTCCACAGATGGCACAGGGAGATGAAAGTTTACAAGGTTCGTGGATCTGAGACCACCTGGTCCAAGCCACATTTTACAGATGATGAAATCAAGGCCCAGAAGCGGAGGAACTCTCTCAACGTCACCCAGGGAGTAAAGCAGTATTTGAACCCAGGTTCTCAGATTCCACGTTAATGCTGTGCCCATCATACCCCAGTGCTTCGTTGACTCCACAGGTCCAGGGGACAAGCCAAGTGTCAGAGCTGGGAGCCTAACTCCAAGTCCACGGCTTTTTAGTCTCACCTTTCCTGACCCAGCAGAAGGCACTCACCTCCGCAGTGAAATCTCCATGGTGCAGAAGAAGCAGGGTGTCCCCAGACTTGGTGGTATATGGGACCAACTGGTCTCCACGCTGGCGAGCAATCACAGTGACCTGAAGAGAAGCAGGCAGGCAAGAGAGGGAAAGATGGGGCTCTGCTCTTTTCACCCAGAGCCTTGCTCTGTCCACTTACACCTAACTACCTCCAAGAGGGGAGGACAGCCTGCTGTAAACCATTAACAAGCAATTCTCGAAGTGCCTACTATGGGCCAGGCGCTGGAGATACGAAGACAAAAATGAAACTATCTCTGTCTTCACGGGGGCAACAATCAGTACACATCAGTACATACAAAATAATTTGTTAATTTGGAGGCAAGGGCACCAGCACTTGGGAGCATCAGAGAGGCAGAGGTGAGGACTAAGCACGTTCCAGGCATGCATCCCAGCCATGGAGCCGTGCCTCAGCGAGGCAGCAGAAAGGCCAGTCTGGCTAGCCTAGAAAATATACCAAGGGGACAGATGTATAATGAAGCTGGATCTCATCTGACACTAACAGGGAGTCACCAGATTCACGGAGTAGGAGACTCACATCAGAGCCCTGCTTAGAGAAATAGCTGTGTGAAGGACGGCTGGGAGAGGAAAGAGACCCAAGGCAAGGAAGCCAGCTAAGAAGCCAAGGAGCGTTTGCTTCTCTGGAGCTAAGTTAGAGAAGAAAACCAAGTTACCACATGAGCTGGGCCCAGGTTGGGGTCATCACCACTCAGGCCTGCATAGGAAAAGGCAACCCGTACATCTCCAACCTAGGAATAAAGAAGAAAGATGGACTCTTCAGTCAGCAGAAAATCGCCTGGGCTCGGGGGGTGGTGGTGGCTTCTGTCTGGCTTTGGAATTGTGACCGGGTTTGGGCAGGGAGGAAACCAGGCAGGGAAAGCCAACAGGCTCAGGTACCTACGGGAGGCTGGCAGCATGGAACACTGCCTGGGGTCTGTCCACTGTACCCTTCATCTTTACAAGACTTCTACTCTACAAGCAGACATTTAACTTCCATTGCTACAGAGGCAGTGGCTCTTAGTTCAGTTTGGTGCAGGTTTGCATACCACAGCCTTGGGCTTACCTCTGGATACTTGGGGTTCTCGCTGTGATAGAAATAGTCTCCTCGTCGGAGGATGTCGACATGGGGGTCCTCCATGTGGGCCAGACTCAGTGGTTTGAAGTTGTCAATTTTGTCAATAAGACCTGAACAAAATGAAACAGTTTGTCATGTCAAAGGATTTAAAAGGAAAACAGCACTTAGAACGTGCACCAGAAACCCTGGAGTCAAGCACCCTCCCACTGTCAGGGGCAGGCTCTGAGGCAGGGGACACAGCCTGCCGGGGGAACCGAGCCATGCTGAACCACTGCTTTTTATGGCGACAAGGAGGTTATGAATCACGGTGGGGGGAGGAGAGGGGCCACCACGTAACTGTTCTGGGGGGATTGAGGCAGCAAAAGGCACACTTGTTTCCTGACAGTGAGACTGTAAAGTGGTCCTCAAACTTTTTTCACTCTCGGCATAGCGGTGTCTGCCATGAACAAGCAAGGCACATTAAACAGATGGGCAGGAAGGGAAGGGACAGGACTTTTTTTTCTTTCTTGGTGTAGGGCTTCTCCTTATCATCATGGCCTGAGGAGGCAGACTCAGATATTCAGTTTTCCTCTAAGAAAAATAGCTGTTTTGTTGAATTCGTTTTGAAAGCTCAAGGTCTGATGTATTTTTATGTCAGTGTGTAAATAAATGTAATAGGCAAATTTTGCTTATTTTTGCAAATACTATATCTACAACATTATGTACGGCCAAGGAAGAAAAAATTACCTTTTTATATTTCTTAATAAAAAAATTATTTTTAAGTTTTCTTTTACTTACCACATCTAAAATTCTGTAGCACACCCAAGCAAAAACTTGAGGCATGCCCTTTGAGAATGACTGACACGGCAGAAAGAGCAAGAGGGTACCTAACTGGCATTTCAGTGAAATCCAAACGTTCACAGAAAAGCCAGCCCAGCCCCAAGAGAAGGCTTACCTGCAGAAAGAAAGAACCTGCCAATCTGAACAAAAGGCGCGACAGCTGTGAAGGACTCCACGGCCATTGCGCTGGAAGGAGAGGAAAGGGTCAGAGAGGCCCTGACGCACTGCAGGTCCTCCCCTCCCCCGCCACCATGCACCCATCATCATGCAGGGCCTCCCTTCCCCGAGAGACACAGCAGTCACTGAGGAGTGGAAGAGCAGGGCGTTTCTCACGCACTGCCCATCCACTGTCACTCTCAGCGGTAAACACGGCGTGCCCACTTGGTGCAGGACACTATACACTACAACCCAGACAGCAAGAATAATTGCCCAAGCGTCCACTTTCCAATTTGCTTCTGAACTCTGCTAGGAATTTGCTCGAGTGGAAGCCAGGACAGTAAAGACTTGTCAGCTGATTTTTTGTGCTGGAGGAGACCACCAGAATGTTAGACCTGAGAAGCAACTCTGGGGTCATCTAGTGCAACCTCTTTATTGAAAATCTTTGCATCAATATTCATTAATGAGACTGGTCAATGGCTCTCTTTCTCTTGCTTGGATATCAGAACCACATTTGTTTCAGAAAAGGAATTTGGTAAAGTGCTTTTTGTCTCTATTTTTGAAACTGATTTTTGTAGCATAAGGACTAATGGCTCTCCTATATGCTTGTGGGAATTCACTCCAACTCCTTCATTTTACAGATGAGAGAGAGACAGAGACAGAGAGAGAGACAGAGAGAGAGAGACAGAGAGAGAGAGACAGAGAGAGAACTTGAAAGGGAAAGTGATTTGCACAAGGTCATACAGTAAATTAGGCAGAGAGTAAGTATAAGCCCACGTTACTTGACTCTTCTATAATACTCTTTCCTCTATACCAGAAGAGCATCAGAAAGAAAAAAGGTATCCTATATAAGGATTTTAAAGCTCTTTTAGCTAAATATTTATTTAGCACCTTCCTTAGGAGGAACCCAAAATATTTCGCTAATTTTTATTGACATAATTTTCCTAAGTTTTGTTCTTCTCCAAGACTTAGGCAAGTTATCCTCACTCTCCAAGAAAAACAGGCAAGTAAGATGGCCCATTTACAGAAAAGCCTGCCCATATTCAGGGCTGGAGTTTAAAATAAATAAGACCCATGTCTTTCCTCTTGGTCCAGCATCCTACCCACTTGGCCTCGAGCCCCTGCTCTCTATTCACCTGGGATTTTTATGCCCAATCTCTCGGTCAAAGTTCCTGCTGTTCACAATTTCCGATTTCCACTCGGTATCTGAGAAAAGGGAAAAAAAAAATGCTGAGAAGCAACACCGTGCTGGCCTGCATTACACTTTTCTAAATACAGTAGTTTCAGACTCATTATTTCCCATGACTCTCTAAGTCAGGCAGATGCTATTGATCCCAACGTGGGAGATGAGGAGGAACAAGTCTGTCACCTGACCGGCTCGGCATCTTGGTGCGACCCTTCTTTCAGAGCTGGAGCTCTGGGTAGGAAACTGCAGGGCTGGACCCCAGGACACCCCCTCTCAGGGCTGCGCATGTACCACTTTGTTTTCCCATCCAAATCTTTCACCCTTAGCTCACTAATCAAAAGAGGTACATCTCCTTTCAGGCCTTCCCATGCTATTATTCTGGGAACTCTTACCAACATCCTACCAAAAGGGATCTAAAGTGTGCAGTGCAGAATGGACACATTTTCTCTACTTTAAAGTCATGGACACCATACAATCTCACAGGGAAAAGTGGGAAAATGATATTGTAAAATAATCTCCTTTTCTTGCAGAAACAACAACAAAAACCTGCTTCTCCCACCACATTTGTTAGATGCAAGTCATCATGCTCCTTATCCCTAGAAGTAAAGTCTTAAATAAGGGAAGAACAATCTGGAAAGTCACTGTGTACTTTCTATGATGTTACCGTTAAGTCAAATTGTGTGTTTTGTTCAAAGCAGGCACATTTATTTTCATTCAGGTTTGGAGTCCTAGTTAGGCTGCAGTTACATGACCAGACCAGGAGGCTTCTGTGGCGGTGGTGACGACAGTGCTGAGCCAGAAGTCAGCACACATGACCCACTAACCTGCCACAAGAACCTGGATCAGTCCTTTCCTACCTCTCTGGGCCTCAGTTTCCTCCTCTGTAAAATGAGCAGGTATGACCAGCTCATTTTTAAGATGCCTTCTAGTGTTCTCATTCCCACAAGGACCTTACACGTCAAATCTCTGTTTCCCAGCATGTGAGAGTGTCGAGATGCTAGCATACTACTTCTTATATCCATTTGTTCACCCAAATGTTCACAAAAGGGGATCTAAAGTATGGAGAACAGTGGTCCCTCAGAGCCTGCCTCCACCCTGAGGGTCATTCTCTCTACAGCGGGAACACAAAGGGGCATCAGAGCTTCAGTACCATAACATGAAGACAGCCTGAGAGGCATGCCCTGGGCTATCATGGAACCATCGAGCTCCTCCGGGAAAGGAGGGATAAGGGCCCATCTGGGCTTGACACAATGCTGACACACTCAATAAGACTTAACCACAACAGTCCTGGAGTGCACAAAGAAGCCAGAATCAGCCACAGATTCTTCAGCCCCTATCTCCAGAGACACGGACTGCAGTCCTACTTACTATAGGAGTATCTCCTCTCTGTCTTCACTTGGCCGTCTTCTGTGTACTCCCTGCAAAAGGAAACACATGTAGCAAAGATGGTCAGACCCGAATCATCAGCACAAAAATATCATCGCTCCACTTGCACCAGAACACAGGGAGGTGTCTGTTTACTGCCCCACATGATGTGGTCCTTGGGGCCAACACTCCAATGGCACCAACCCTAACTCTCCCTGGTAGGGTAAGCAGGGAGTCTGTACCTTAGGTTCAGCCAGATTGGGCAAAAGGACACAGAGTATCACTGCTAATAGAGCTCCAAGTAGCAAATCTGTTATATTAAACACAATGTTTCCATAAGAAGTAAAAAGAGTTTGAATTCATGGAGAAGCCACTCACAAACAGTAGCAGAAACGGGATAATTCACGGATGGAGGGAAAAGGCGGATTTGCACCTGATGTGAGTGCCGGCTTAGATCACAAAGTGTAGCTGACAGGCACAAGGGGCTACCAAGGCACCAAGATCTATGTTGGAGGTGAGAATTCCAAAGAGAATCCACATCAACTCTCACCATCTCAGAGTCAGGGATCAATGCCAGGGACCCTGACAGCCTGCTTCAGAAGCACCCACGGGTCACCCCAGAGCAAGGGCAAGGAGCCTGGGCTCTGGCAGTCTGGGGGAACCTGAGAGGCCTCTTCACAGAGCAATGTTTGTTGCCTACATTCATAATTGAAAGAAATGCCAAATTTTAGTTTGAGATTAGTGGAATTTTCCCATCCCTATTCATGGACCCCTGGAAATCTATCCACAGACTCCTTGGGGGTGCATAGGCAGGCCTTGGGTTAAGAACCCCTGATCTAAGGCAATCTACCAATTTTGCATACTGAGAAACTGCCACCCAGAGAGAAGTGACTGGCCTGGGGTCCCCAGCTCCTTTAGGGTAAATTCAGTCTAAAACCAAGGTCACCTAACTCCCCCTACACATGTCATGCAACTGAATTAGCAAGCTATTACATTTTTTTGGTTTGGTTGGTTGTTTTTGTTCCTTTGGTTTTTTTTTGTTTGTTTGTTTTTTTGCTAGGCAATGGGGTTGAGTGACTTGCCCAGGGTCACACAGCTAGTAAGCGTTATGCGTCTGAGACCAGACTTGAACTCAGGTCCTCCTGACTCCAGGGCTGATGCTCTATCCACCGTACCACCCAGCTGCCCCCAAGCTATTACATTTGCAGAAACACACATCTATGCATAGGGTCAGTCCCTTCCTTACTAAAAATAAGTGCCAACTCATCAAGTATTATTACATTTGGTTGAAATACTACACACAAAACAATTTAATTTTCCAAATGAGTATCAGTGATGTTGGCTTGCTACTAACAAAAGTGCTAAGTGATCTTTTTTGTAACCCCAGCACTTAAGCATCTCATACATACTAAATGCTTAATAAAAATGTTAATTGTTAATTGACTTGAGAAAAGTGATTTATTTTTCAAAAGAAGAAAGCATTTTAAATTTTTAAAAAATGAAAAAAATGGAATCTCAGGTCATCTTTAAACACAATTTTCTTTGCCTCAAAAGTCTCAACTCCTTCCATGGTGAAATGACATTGCATAATCTGGGGTGAAGGGGGAGTGAGGAACAAGAACTGGTACGACTATGATGAAAATTCTGTGTGCTCAGGCAGTACTTCTTATTTTAATTATCATAACAACATGCGGTCCTCAGCATCCACCATCAGAGAAAAGGGCCCAAATGGGGTCACTGACTGGAGATCCTTCAGCAAGGAAGTGCCGAGATCTACCCAAAGCCAATGGGAACGTCCACAGTCTCTAGGAGCATTCAGTTATGCTTGTCAGTTAATTTGACAAACAGTGGGAATTACGGGTGACAAGTTCTGAGGCAGAGAACAAGTTAGCTGGGATTGTGTAGGCCCAAAGGAACTGCTGCACCACAGAGGATCATAACAGAAGTAGAAGACGTTTCTTTTCTTCAAGGGCCGAACAAGACAAAATAGTTACTTGCAAATCCCACTTTGGAGGACCATTTGGAAGGGAGACTGGGCCAGGCCAAGGAGCAGATGGCTCCACTGGGGCCAGTGCACAGAAGTATCTGGGGAACTGTAGGGTGAGGCCAGAAGGGAAGAGGAGGGCAGTCCCTTCTCACTGGGGCTCTGGAGGGGAAGGAAGATGAGACTAGGCCTGGGCCACAGCCAAGAAGTCAGGAGGGGGCATCACAAAAACAGCAGCTCGACTTAGAAAACATCGAGCTTCAAATCCAGGCTCTGCCATCTCCTTCCTGGCTGACCCTGGGCAGAGGACTTTACCTCTCTGGGCCCCAGACGCACCCTTCCGGTAAGGAGGGTGGGCTAGACCAACTCCAGGGAGCCTTTCAACTCTAAATCCTATGATCCTATGAACCAGTAGGGTGCAACAGAGAGAGCTCCTACTCCCCTCTCCCCTCCCCACCCCCGCCAGCTTCTGACTTTATTTCCCTAGACTCCCCTGCACAAATGCCCCCTACCAGCCACCTCCTACCCTGCGCCGTGACACATGCTGTTCTCTGGATCTGGGACGCAGTCCCTCTGTCGTCCCTGCCCCACAGATACCTGGTCGTCCTCCAACCTTCAGCCGAGAGGCCACCTCCCATGTGAATTCCCTGCACTCTGAAGCAGCTCTTCTCGTTCTGTGCTACCTCATTTCTCCTGGTACCTTGCTTGTGTATGGTACAGCCTTTCTCTCACCCAAGTAAAATGGAAGCCCTTTGAGGGAAGGGCCTGTTTCACTTTTGTCTTTACACCCCTAAAGCGCTCTGCATAAGTAGGCATTTAATGCCTGGGGGTGTGGGATAGATGACAGTGCTGGTAAGACCTTTCCTAACCTGTAAATTGCTGACCCTTGCGTCTGTCTTGTATCTCAACCACTACAACTGTCTGTTCTGCTTCAGGGCCTCATATTAAATGCCCCTCTGATCAACTGAGAGATTAATGTGCTGTTCACGGACCATAGAAGAACAGAGGATAGAAGAAACCTTCTGGTCTTTGCCCAGAGTAGGGTCTGGGGTCAGGCAAGCCCAGCACACCAAGGGAAGCAGGAGCATTTAAGAAAATCAAAGTGGCCCCGACAACTTGAAATGTGGGCGAGAAAGCCCACCCACCCCAGCAGGATGAGGGCCCCTCTCACCTGGACTCTTCTGACTCCACCCACTGGTACATCTCCACGTGTCGCTTCAATTTCACTGCAGGGATAAAGACCCCATAGTTGGGATCAGACAAGAGCTTTAAGAGAAGGAGAAGAATAAAGTGAGGCCAGGCCTGAGATCCCGAGGAAAGTCAAATCGGAGCCGTGAGCTGGAGAGGCTACCAGAGGAGTGTAAACCAATACATCTGAAGGCCACTTACTCTCCCAAGGACACCCAGAAAAAGTCTAACCTGGGGCAGGGGGGTCGTTTTGAAGAAAATAATATTTGCTTTCAAATTTATATATTTTTATTTCTTGAGTTTTGGCCATAAACCTCAAAGTACAGCCCTTGAAAAAGGCTCAGTCCATTTTCATGGATCAGAAAAACTCTGACTCCCATCCCCACCCCAGCCTTGGGAAGCCTCTGCTTCTTCTCTCTTTGCAGTCTTGCACAACCAAAAATGAGGTGACATTATTATCCTATCCATAATGATGATATGGAGAGTGGTCTTAGAGTGTTTTTCAATCCACCAAAGACAAAACAATACCAAGTGCAAAAAGGCAGGTGCATTGTAGTAGAAAAGGCCCTGAACATGCAGGAGTGAGCCTGTCTGCTCCTCAGGAGGGGAAGCAGACCCTGACTGTGTGATCTCAGTGGAATCCTTTCCCCTCTCTGGGCCTCAAGTCTCTTATCTGTAAAGTGAAAGGGTCGGAAGCTAGAAATCTGTGATCCTCTAATTGGCAGTACCAGGTAACCTGGGTCTGAGCCCGGCTACAGCATTTACAAGCTGTGTGGCAAGGAGGAAGTCCCTTCCCCTCAGTTCCTTCACCAAGAAAAGGGGGATAATCCTTGTGTCACCTACTTCATAAGAGTGTATAAGAATTAAATCTGATAATGTATAAAGTGCTTTGTAAGCTGTGAACTGATAGATAAATGTGAGCTATTAGTATTCAGTGTAGTTTTACTGATAAATATATTTTATTCTATTTCTTTGAAAACTGATAATCCAAGAAGAGATAATGAGAAATGCCTCCTTCCTCAAGGTGGAAAGGACAGAACATGATATCTGTTGTCAGACACTGTCTCTACACTGGCTTATTTTTTTCTTTGTCACATGGAAATGTTCAATTGGGAGTGTGGTGCAGGAAGAGGTGTGGGAAATACCTGTAATATAAAGACAAGGCATCAGTAAAACTCCTTATGGAAAAGAAAAAAAAAATAGCCAATCTGTATTTGGCCCATGTGGTCATTTGGAATCACAGAATGTTAGTGTTAGAAGAGACCTCAGAGATAGTCTCTTCTGTAGGAAAGAAGGGATTCACCCAGAATCACACAGTGCTTCTGACTCTAGGACCATGGCTCTTTGCCCTCCACCACAATCCCTGCCCTAAAGGAATTTATAATGTAAGAACAAACAGCTCACATTTATGCGGTGCTTTAACATTTATAAAACATTTTAGGACACACATACATAAATACAGACAAGAAATAATAAAGGATGATATAATTGTCACAATACAAGCTCTTAGGTCAAGCTGACAGGATACAGACGTCAAACTCTCAGAGAACAGAGAGGGCAGCAGATGCAGGGCCAGAGGTGGCAGCAGCGCAGGGAGAGGAGGCGTCGGCTTTACCTTGGACGTCCGCAGGGAGCCAATCAAGTGCACGAGTCTCCCCTCGTTCTCTGGGGCCACACTATGGATGGTGTTAAGTGGAACCACAAGCGAGAGCCCCTCAGCAAGAGAAGTTGCCGTCCTCAAGGCCCTGCCCTACAACAGTGGGAGAGAAGGAGGTGAGAGAGCGCTAGAGGTAATGCCCACCCGCTGCTCTCTATAGTGCACCATAGTGTAGTTTGATAACACTGGGCATTTATTATAAACAACACAGGGAACAACTCAGGTTAATGACCTGAAGCTACTTCCCAAGAATAAGAGGTTCACCCGATGGAATATTCTCATCCATAATAGATTTTTTTGCCTAACTGTCTTAGAATTCCTAAAAGCCTGTAAACTCTACAAGGGTGAGGACTGTGACTTCTCTGGAGTTTTTAAGTTTCCAGCCACTGCTAACAGAAGGCTTTGCATACATACAGTATCTGGTGTTCAGTTAAACACGCTGTCCAATAGAACAGCTTCTCCTGTATATGAAGAACTAAATCACAGTGAATGCACAATACATGCGTTCATTCAACAAACCTTTATTAAATACAGTGCTCTGCACAGAGGAAGCACTTAATGCCTTTTAACTGGAGAAACGTTTATCCTCAACAAAGTCAACGAGCATTTATTAAGAGCCTATCACATCCTAAGAATGGGGGAGGAGGGAGAGAGGAGGAAGAAATGAAAAGCTAAAGGAGGCCTGGTCTATCCAAAGGGACAGCGCCCTCCCCTGTAGGGGCTGCTAAGACACAGACTAGGAACTGGAACCCAAGCTCATACCCATCGCTCCCCTGGCACTCAGTCAAGCTTCCCTGCTCCTGGGACCTGATGTGTGTTGTGGCCTGTGCCTGAAATGACCATCCTCCATTTTAGATCCTGACTTCTTCTTAGCCTTCCCAAATCCCCGTACCTATTACCCTTCCATGAAGGCTGAATACCAATCTTATGTGTTATTTAGGGTTATCCCTATTTGTACATGTCACACAAACACCATCACCACCCACCAGAACCGTCTTAACTTTCTACTTTGTCAACACCTGGCACGAGGCTTTGCACCCAGTAGGCTCATGTTACCGAATGAGGAGCTATAATGCTAAGAGAATGCCCAGGGCTTTAAAGGACGAGGGGAAGAACTTCTAACCAACTCAGATGATTCTCTCTCTCTTCTGCCCTCTGCTAGCTGTGCCCTTCCCATTCCCGGGAGGGACAAAGGGACTGCACCGTTTTCACCCACTCAGAGGTAGAAGAGAATCAAAGCCTTTCACGCAGCCTGGACTCCATCTCCCTCCTCTGGCCTCCCACCAATGTCTGAGCACATTCGAAGAACAGACAACTATTTAAACTTTGTGGAGAATACAGGGTTAGTCTATTGGCTACACCTTGTTTCTAGAATGGCTACCTCTTTCCAAGAAGGACACAAGAATAAGCTGCTTTTTTCTCTCTTGCAGTGTTCGGAAAGAGCCTGAAGGGACAGAACAAAGAGGGAGATGGCACTCTAACTGGACAACAGAGAGCTTGGCCATAGCAGCATTTTGACACACCTGCCATACCCTAGGAAGAAGTCGTTCCTTCAGAGCGCTGCCCACTCCCAAGATCCAAGGTGTCTCTATTAACTTCCATGAGATTCTCCCTTTCTTCCTCCTACCCCAAAGTTCTCCCAATAGAGTGGTGGGAAAAGAAGCAATTCATTCAATGGATTTTTAAATATGTTTCTCAAGTCTGCAATGAAATATCAATGATGCTTTTAACATCCCTTTCTTTACCAACACCTTGGGTATCAGTATATTTTTCCCCAGTTTTCTAGAATGATGGCAACTTCTCTCCTCCCGTGGTTCACTACACTGAGTTTTATACAAGTCCCAGAGGCAGGTATGGACCCTAGAAAGGGGGCTTAAGATAGAGACATAGTTAAAAAGACAAGAGAGATAAGAGAAGGAGTCATTCAAGGGCTAACGTAGTGAAGGATGTTAATCACCACTTCTAGTCATCTTTTTACTTCACTGACCCTCTCTTCAGGATCCCACCTGCAAACTCAAAAAACCAAGGACTAATCTGACTTACACAGCTGTCTTCCCAGCTCTCAGTGTTACATAAGCTGAGAATGAAGCCATCGGGCCTTTGAGAAAGGGATTTCTGGTTAAGTGTCCAGCTCCCATTATGCTCAAGGAGAGACTCTTGGGGAAAAAAGGCAAGGCGATGCTCTGGAGGCTCACCTCATTAGTAAAGATCAGGTAGAAGGAAAGTAAAAATGTCATCAATCCAACAAACATGCCTCCTGATGTTTCACTGAGACGCTCCAAGAAGCCCGGCTGCTGGTCAGCTGTAATTTTGACATGTTCTTTTCTGTTACTTGTATCAGAGTACTAGAAAAAGGGGAAAAGATACAAAATATATATAGATGTTATACAAATATCATCGTACTAATCAACCTGTGATTAATTTAAAATCGTTAGGAATCATTAGCATAGTTATAAGAATGGAAGCTAATCAATTTTCTTTCCACTAAAATACCTAAGCTTAAATTTCCCATTGCTGTTTATTGAAAGATCAATAAAAACTGAAAAGTTTATAAAGTATCCAGAATACATTACCTAACAAACATTTACTGCACACAATCATAATGGTAATAATAATAAATAGCTTATATACTTTGTAATGCACTCTCCACACATATACATACACACACACACACACACACACACACACACACACATCCCCATTTTACAAATGAGCAAACTGAGGCTAAAAGAGGTGAAGCAATCAGCCAAATGGCTAGAAAGTGTCAGAGACAGGATTCAACTCTAGACTTTCCAACCATAAAAGAAGAACTTTTGTGCATTTTATGGGCTGAGTTGTCCTAGATACTAGGTGATAAAGTGCTAACTGCAAGGATGCTCCCTCTAGAGATCATGGCCAGTGCTTGCATCCCAAGATAGTCCAGAAATAATCTCAACATGCAAAGTACTGTTGAGCTCACTGAGAGACCAAGCTGAACACCTCTAGCCTTGAAGATACACATACCCTTTTCTCTGAGCCTTTATTTCTTCAGCCATAAAATAGGGACAATGATATCTGCATTACCTACCTCACATAGCTTCTGTAGGAGTCAAGGGGTAAAATTAACATGAAAGAGCTCTCTCTGAGGCTGGAACATGCTATGAAAGCATAGAACAACCAGTCCAGTAGTGAAGGCCCTGAGGATAGGATACACCTGAGAAAGCCTCTCATCAACTCATCAAGTGAAAGAAATTCCCTTAGTCTTAGCAGAGGACAACAGAAGAAAGCACCCCAGGACTTTGATCTCCTACACATTGCCTTGAGGGAAAGCATTCCCATTGGGATTCCACTATTAGCTTTTTAGCTATTCCCCAGGACCTAGCTCAAGCTATAGATGATAGATTTAGAGCTGGAAGGGACCTCAACCATTACCTAATCTAACCTACAGATGAGGAAACTGAGTTACAAAGAGGTGAAGAAATGAGTTCAAAGTCACATAGATAGTAGGTAAGAGAGCTGGGATCTGAACCCAAGACCTCTGACTCTAAATCCAACACTTTCTTCTATCACCTTTGGCATTACATTTCATATCATATTCTATAACTACCACTACAGGAATTTTATCATCCCTACCATAATAAGGACCATGATGTTGCCTTGCTCAATCTGAGCAATCCATCTCTCTGAGTCTGTTTCTACAGCTACACAATAACTGACATTGATGCGGCATTTATATTTTTCATACATTATTTCATTGGAGCCGCACAAAGACCCCATTTTCCAGGTGAGCAAACTGAGCCTTAGAAAAGTTACGTGACTTGCCCATAAATACAGAGTTAGTATCAGAGGTGAGATTTGGACTCAGATCTTCCTGGTGCCAAGTCCAGGACTCCAGGAATCAGAAGACATGGCTTCAGAATCTTCACCTGAAAACTCTTATTTCTTCAATTTTACAAATCATTTCTTCTAAAAACAGTCCAGTGAGGTAGTCTGTGTCTTTTTGTTTTTCTATCACAGAATCACTGATAGAATCATAGATTTAGAGATTGGAAGCCAAAAAGTCTACTCCCTCTCTCCCTCATTTTTCAGGTGGGGAAACTGAGGCATAAAGCCGTTAAGTGGCTTATCTAGGATCTTGCTGCCAGTAAGGATGGAAGGAAGGAAGGAATAAGCATTTATGCAGTGCCTACATGTGCCAGGCACTGTGCTAAGCATTTTACAAAAATCATCTTATTTGATTCTCTCAACATCTCTTGTGAGGTAGGTGCTATTATTATCCCCATTTTTTAGATGGGGAACTGAGGCAGAAAGATATTAAGTGACTTGCCCAGGGTCATACTACTAAGCATCTGGGGCTGGTTTTGAACTCAAGTCTTCCTGACTCCAGGTGCAGGGTTTTATTCACTGAACCACCTAGCTGCAGTAAGGGCCAGAAACAGAATCTGAACCCAAGTCTGCCTTGAACACAGTAAGCACTTAATATTTATTGAGTTATTCCCATTTTGAGATGAGGAAACAAACTTAGAATTGTTAACTGACTTATCCATGGTCACAAAGTTAGTCTGACTATCTGAACTGGAATTCTAGCCTATGATTTCCTAACTGATAGTTTCCAACAAATGAGACCTTAGCTTTCAAAAAATGACTAAACCTGATTCCAGAGGACCCAGGATGACGCATGCTACCCATCTCCTGAGAGAGAGGTGATGGACTTAGAGGGCATATGGAGATACTTTCTGGACACGGCTAACTATTTGTTACAAGAGGGGAAAGGAAGGAGAAAAACAGACATATTCGTTGAAAAAAATTTAATTTTAAAAATAAAATTATTTCTAAAATCTCTTCCAGATTTAAAATTCTCTGAAGCCACAGTGAGTCATTACAGCAGTGAGCTACTCCCTCCCACCTTTATAAGAAAAAGTGGCACAGGAGGGAGGGGCCCACCCCACCCAGTCCCAGCACGAAAGTTGAGATCGGTGCCCAACTTGCAGTTCAAGTTGCCCAAAGAGAACCCACGACAGCCGAGCCACCCAAGGGTCAAAGAGGAGGGGGCATGCAGGCGGGCAAGGCGGGCATGCAAGCAGCAAGATGCGACTCCCGAGGACCTCCCGAGCACCTCCCGAGCTGCAGCTGGCGAGACTCCGGGTCAGCTTCGGGGAGCCGAGCGGGAAGGGATCCCGGCTGGGTGGGGCGGCAAGCTCACACTTACATTCCGGGACATGGTCAGCCTAGAACTGCTGCCTCAATCTCCAAAGCAGGGCAAAGGGGCCGGAGGGCAGCGGGCAGATCTGCAATTGGCCGGAGAAGCAGCGGGAGCCCCACGAGCCGGGAAAACTCAGCCCTTTCTCCTGAGCCGCGAAAACACAAACTCTGGCGAACAAGGCTAGCCTTGCTGCTACAAAGTTACCACCCACGACAACGAATGGCTCTACTGCGCCTGCGCGCCGCAAGGTTTCCTGGGAAGCGTAGTCTCCTATGTTGGGGGCGGAGGCTTGCGGGCGCCTCCGCCCGGCCCTTTCGCCTGGCTCGGCCTACGTCCTTCTGGGACATGTAGTTTCCTGGGGCTAGAGGAGCTCGGGAGGCGTAGGCCGCTGGGCTCCTGGCTGGCCGGCGGGACGTAGGGGGCGGCCAGGCTGGTGTGCCGCGGGGCAGGCCCTGGGAAGAGGGGCGGAGCCCGAGGAGAGATCACGGCGCCTAGTGGCCACCGCGACGCCGGAGCGACGTACGTGGGGAGCGGGGTCGGAGCCGGAGCCACGGGAGCCGCCGGACCTCAGCCATGTCCTACTGCCGGCAGGAAGGTGCGAGCCGCCAGGCTGGGGGCAGGCGGGGAGGCGGGGAGGGCGCGGGCGCGAGGCCAGGCCGAGGGGCTGCTATGGAGACGGGGCCTGCAGGGGACACGCGGCCCCCTCGGCGGCGGGCGCAGGCGCGGGCAAGCGGGCGCGCGGCCGATCGAACGTTGGGACCCCTGCTGTTGGAGCGCGGCACGCGTGGTACAGCCCCGGGCTGCTGCTGGCGGCGGCCGGCTGCCCGGCTGTGCGTAGCCCCGCTTGCACCGCGGCCGGGGACTGCGCCCGATGACCTCCGGCCCAGCGCGTGGAGCGCGGCCGCACGTGCAGGGTCCTTCACCTCCTCTGTCCCTCCCTTTGCCGACGAATGACTTGGGCCGGGGGCTTCCTTCCCTGGGCACGTGCGAGCCCCCCAAGGGGGTCAGGAAGTTAACTCAGGGCCTTCTGGAAGCTGGGGCTTTTTACCCGTCCGCTGCAACCTCGAGGCAGCTCAGAGACCTCCTTGCAGGAAGCAGCTGGGGTTTCCAGCCCAGATTCTACCGTTAACTTACCGGGTGAACTTGCACTAGTCATTTTCCCCTCCAGATTCATTTTCCCCTCTGTAAAATGAGGTTGGACCTCATGCTTCCTAAAGACCCTCAGGTTTGCCGATTTCATCTCAAAACCTGGAAGAGTGTGGGGTCCAGTGTCCTAGTGGCCCTAAGGAATGACCTTCACAAACGGAGAAACACTTGGGAGAGTTCCCAAGGTCAACATGGAGACCATCATTATGTAATTACAAGACAGGGGACGGTACTTAAACCCGTAGCGTTCATTCATCTGGACACCGTAGTGGGGCTGCCCTTACATGTTTTCGTTTCTCTGACTGGCCCTGGGCCACACAGCGGCCTCCTGGTTTGTGGGCTTTTTATTCCGTCCCTGTGGGTCTGACTCATACCAAACCTGTTAGGTCCTCTCAGTTTCTTCTGCCAGGTGGAGGGAAGAGTCCTAGGAAATCTAGAGTACTTCCTTGTGACTTTTTTGTCTACTCAATCCTGATCCCTGTGGGTGTTGTGGGTCAGGGGCAAGGATATGTTCCTTCAGGGTCTTCCTGCTATGCCTTTGCCAAAATCTACTTTGGTTATTCTGGGTTTCTTGAACTTTGTGAGCCACTTTTACCTCAATACTGTAGCAGATGGTTAAACTTTTGAGTTCAATTTCTTAGTTTCATCATTAATTCATTTAGCAAGTGCCTGTTCTGTGAATGAGCAAACTATCCAGCACCCATTCAGATGCTTCTTGAATGAATGAGCAGACATCCAGCCCCCAACAGATGCATTTAGTTGTTAAATGATGCTTGTTGAATAAATGAACTGTACCCAACAAAGTCATTCACATGCTTATTGAATGAATGAATAGATGCCTACCATCTCAAAAAACCTGTGCTGAGTACTGGGCATTTGGAGTCAGCAGGAAAGGGTTGCAATGAGGAATAGTACAGTTAATACCAATACATCAATAACTGCGGTCTCATTCTCAAGTTGTGACAGCCCCTCCAAAAGCTAAAATGAGAAAGGTTCCAACAAGATGGTGGGAGCTCAGTGGAGGGCAAGGTAATAGTAGGTATGGGTTAGACAAGATCAAGGGCGGTGTCCAGGCCACATGTGGCCCCCTAGGGCCTCAAGTGTAGCCCTTTGACTGAATCCAGATTTCACAGAACAAATCCCATTAATAAAAGTATTTGTTCTGTAAAACTCAAAGGACCTGGAAAGCCACTTGTGCCTCATGGTTGAAGGTTCCCTACCCCAGGACTAGATAGCCACTTGAGGTCCTTCCCAGTGCTGAGATTCGCTGATCACATTGAGGCCGGGGTGGAGGAACGTGTATCTTTCAGCCAACACTGCACTCTACCTGAATCATCTTCATTTAGTCTTGGCCCAACCTTTGGGGAATCTAATTTTCTCAAACATCATTTCATACCTGTATTTTGCATTCCTTTCCTTATGCCATTGTGTCAAGGTTACAAATTCAAAAAAAAAATGGTAAAATGGAGATCAGGGAAAGTTTCGTAGGGAAAGTAGCACCTGAATTGGTCTTGAAAAAGGAGAACTTGAAGGGGCAGGGGAGAGGAATGAGAAGAGAGTGGGGAATTCAGGGAGAAAGGAAGACTGAGGGACGTCTACTAGTCTAGTCTGACTGGAACCTAAAGTACACAGACAGGAACAATAGGAAAGATAGTTCAAAGCTGGATTGTGGATGGCCTTGAAAAGCCAGGCAGAGAGGCTCTCCTCCTATGGTGTGGAGATGGGGGCAGGATGGGTGACTGGCCACCCCTGTGTCTTTTGCTATGTGGTTCTGTTGCAAGTATAGCCCACATTTGTGTGGCTTTTGGTTGCTTTTGTTATTTCAAGTGTAGGCAGCCTGCCAAGGGGCCTTCTGCCCCAGCCCACAGCCCCAGTCCCCACATCCCTCCACAATCATACTTGCCTAGGCAAGTCATGGAACCTGGCTAAAACCAAAAGCTCTAGAACTGTGGCAGATTCTCATCAGCAGAGTTTTCTTCACCCAGAGCTCTCTGCACTTTAGACCCGAAAGAGCACTCCTTCCTTTCCACTTGTATATCTGCTGTGATCTTTCCACGCCTGGCAGAAACTGCCTTCTTCCATTCCCTTGAAGCCTGACCTGCCTGAATTCTCCCTAGCGCCTTTCTACTTTTTAAACCCACCCTTTCTTGCCCAGACTGTAACTGGAGAACATTCACAGTTCCCTCAGTTGTAGCCCCTCTGGCCTGGATCATTGAGTTCCTTTTTCTCTCAATCACATCCCTTTGGTCACCAGGTACCTCTGGATGGTATCTGCTGGACTTCAGACTCCTGGAGGGCAGCACACTTCTGGCCTTCCCCACAATGCCCCTACCAGTAGATGGTAACACTCCACCCACATTGATTGGTTCTTTCCAGTTGCAAGCTGCTTTACCAACATTTTCTCACTGTGGTCACTGGTGGTAGGAAAGAACAGATACTCAGAGCCACTGAAGAGAAGAGATAGACAGCCATGACAATAAAACACAATGTAACATAAACAGACAGGGTGAAAAGGCTGTGTGAGGTCTGCAGAAGAAGAAGTTCAGCTGGCTGAAAAGGCGGGAGGGAGGGGGCTTCTGAGCCTGCTTAGCGAGCAGCATTGGGGAAGGGCTCTGGGACTGCCTCCTCTTTAAACCTTTTACCTGTTAAGCCTACAAGTCCTGATCTCTACCTGGCCACTGGGCCCAGGTGGCTCCAGAAGAGAAAGTGAGGCTGGTGACTTTGCACAGCCCTCCCTCACTTGCAAGCCACGGCATCATCTTCCCGATACCATGTCCTCTTTGAGAATGAAGGACAAACCACAACCTACTGGGCCTGTTTACCTTTGCTTCTCATTAGCCAAACTAGTTTTTGTTGTTCATCAGTCACATCCAACTCTTCAAGACCCCATTTGGGGTTTTCTTGGCAAAGAAACTTGGCAGTTTGTCATTTCCTCTTCCAGCTCATTTTACCGATGAGGAAACTGAGGCAGACAAGGGTAAGTGACCTGCCCAGGGTCACACAGTGAGGAAGTGTCTGAGGCCAGATTTGAACTCAGGTCTTCCTGACTTCAGGCCTGGTGCTCTCCATTGTGCCCCCAGCCCATACTAGATGTTGTCCAGTCATTTCAGTCGTGTTTGACTCTCTGTGATCCCATTTGGAATTTTCTCAGCAAAGATACTGGAGTGGTTTGCCATTTTCTTCTCCAGCTCATTTTACAGATGAGGAAACTGAGGCACACAGGGTTAAGTGACTTGCCTTGGGTTACTAGTAAGTGTTTGAGGCCAGATTTGAACTCAGGAAAATAAGTCTTCCTGACTCTAGGCCTGACGCTCTATTCACTGCACCACCCAGCTGTCCCTAAACGAGTTTCTACTGACTTCTAACTGCTAGCTTCTTGAAGAGTCAGGTGTAAAAGAGCTATGCCTCAGAAAAAGGCCTCCTTGCTTTATGTTTGGGCAGGAGGCAGGCAGACCCTTGAACCTATCCACAAAAGCAAATCTCTTCCGTAAGATTCAGAGTCCATAAGATTGAGTGCACTGTACCTCGGAATACTCCGTCGATATCCTTCCTGTGCTGGGGTCCTTGGGCCTGCCCTTCAGAGAAGAAGGATTCCTCCCCTGGTTTATAAAGATCTTGTACAGCTAGCCCTGCTTCAGTTGTTCTCCAGCATTGGCTGCTGAGGCAGGCCCTGGCAAGACCCTTACTTCTTGAAGAATGAAACAAACCCAGAGGGGTCGAGCAGTCCTCTGGCTCCTGATCAGGTCTTTTTCTGACACACTGTACTAGGTAGATGCCTATCAGATCCCTTTGGCACATACCCCATCCTCTTATGAATGATTTCTAATAAGACAGGTGTTTGGGTATCTAAAGCCCTGTCCTGTAGAAGAGAGGGGCAGACCTTGTGAAGATGGCTTCAGGCGTGCCTGAACTCGCTAGGGGGAAGATTGAGCCATTAGAGTTGTCCAGTAAAGGATCCGGGGGTCCTGTTCAATGGTGCCCTCCCCCTGGAGTCTTTCAAGCAGAGAGCAGATAGCCCCTGGTCAGGCAGGGATCTGGGGCGAGCAGTTTAGGCACTGGGTACAGCGTTGGTCTCCTTTGAGCTCCCCGTAAGAGCCTCAATGTTAACCCTGGGCTTTGGACAGCAAAGTAGGAAGACTCTAGTTTTCAGCCTAAATTAGTCTTTCCTTCTCTCTGAACTCCAGTTTCTGCATCTTCAAAATGAGGGGTGAGGTTGTGGGGAAAAGGAAGAGAAGCCTCCATGGTCTCTCCGCCTCACTCTTGGTCTGGCAGGTCTTTGTGAATTTGCTGTGTTAGGGCACAGCAGTACCTCATCCACGTGTTTCAGCTCTGACTGGCTCAAATCAAATTAAGCTGGCCATGGCCAGTTAGAGCAAGGCTATTGCTGCTAGAGTTCAGGAGGCATTTAAAGGGGTCTTAAAAAGCCAGCACTTTCTCAGGCTGAATTAG